ATTTTATTTATTTATTTGAGAGAGAGAGAATGAGAGATAGAGAGCACGAGAGGGAAGAGGGTCAGAGGGAGAAGCAGACTCCCTGCCAAGCAGGGAGCCCAATGTGGGACTCAGTCCCAGGACCCTGGGATCATGACCTGAGCCGAAGGCAGTCGCTTAACTAACTGAGCCACCCAGGCGCCCTCTCTGTGTACTAGTTTTAATCATTTACCCTTAAATGTCTCATGAATTTAACCATAAAAGTACTATGGAAGTATGTGAAGTAGTTTAGCTTTGAGTCATTGCCCTAACACTCCCATTTTCTTCTAATCTTTCCAACTTAGAGAAAACAAAGAGGAAGAGTTAATTGAAAAATTGGAGGTGGTCACACTGCCCTCCCCATCCCCAAAAGGACTACCAGTGAAGCAATATGCTGTCCAGTCTCAGCTTCCAGTGTATGAGTGGCCAGATGTGGGATCCGGAGAGTACGACGTTGGAGTGGTAGCTTCATTTGGCCGACTTTTGAGTGAGGCTCTTATTCTTAAATTTCCTTAGTAAGTTTTTTTTAATTTTTTTTTTTAAGATTTTATTTATTTATTTGAGAGAGAGAATGAGAGATAGCACGAGAGGGAAGAGGGTCAGAGGGAGAAGCAGACTCCCCGCTGAGCAGGGATCCCGATGTGGGACTCGATCCGGGACTCCAGGATCATGGCCTGAGCCGAAGGCAGTCGCTTAACCAACTGAGCCACCCAGGCGCCCCCTAGTTTTTTTTTTTAAGGGAATACAGTATAGAGGCCTTGGTCTTTATATATGGCCCTGGTGTCTAGAGTGCAAGATTTGAATTCTAATTCTGCTTTCTTTACTATTTTCTCTTAAGATAAAAAAATTTTGTTAGTGTCATGAATTGTTGAAATGTGTGATGCTCTTGATCTCTGGGCTCTCACCCACCCTCATTTAAATTCTGTATAGATGCTGACAGTTCCCCAATGTGTCCCTCCAGTTCAGATCTCTCCCTGAAATCCAGGCCCCTGGTACCCACCACCTCCTGCACACTTCTGCTTGGGTGTCTGATAGGCACCTTACATTTAAGATGTCCTAAACTACATTCCTGAACTTTTGCCCAAAACCTCCCCAAATCTTAATCTCAGTAAATGGCAACTCCGCCCTTCTGGTTGTTCAGACTCAGAACCTTTCAGTGGCTCATGATTCCTTTTCTCACACCATACATCCAATCCATCAGGAAATCTTATTGGCTCTGTCTTTGAATTCTAGAAGGAATTCACCTGTCAAGTTCTGCAGTAGCCCCTGCCTGATGTCTGCTGTCCTTGGCCTTCTCAGTCTTTTACCAACCCAGCAGCCAAAATGATCCTTTTAAAGCAGAGGTTGGATCGTGTCACTCTGCTCAACGTTCTTAAACAGAAGTCATCAAAGTCCTTGTAGGGGCCTATAAGGACCTACCTACTGTGTTTTGACCCCTCCTGGCTGTCTGGCCTCATCTCCTCGTGTTACTCCTCAGGTTCACTCCACTCCAGCCACACTAGCCTCTCTGCTATTCCTTGAACTTGCTGAACATTTACCTTCTTCAAGATACTACTGTTTCCTCTGCCTGGAATGTCTGCATGGCTTATTCCCTTACCTCCTCACGGCTTTGTTCAAGTGTTTCCTTTTATTGGTAAAACTTTCTGTGACCCCTGTGAAAACTGTTGTCTCCCACCCAGAACTCCTACCCCTTCTCTGCTTTATTTTCCTCCACAGCCCTTAGAACCATCTGGCAAACTTTTTACACAGGTTTGTATTGCTTATCTCCCGCTCTTGGCATGTAAGCTCCCTGAGGGCAGTATTTTTCCTCCTTTGGTTCAGTGTCGCTTGTATCCCCAGCACATGGACTGTGCTCAGTAAATATTTGTTGGGTGAATGAGGCGGGTCTGAACAGTGGAATTTTGAATATAAGACTCTCGTATATATGTACTCTCAAGTGCATATTCCCACGGTGGAGACATCATCAAACTAATCAGCTTACTTGGTAAATGATTTAAATTGCTCATCTATGGGCAATAGGTGTGTTGGGATAAACAGCAAAAGTGAATAGATCATTGGATGGGGATTCAAGAAGCTTGTTTTAGGCATTCTCCATGCAAACTAAATGAAACAGGGTAATTGGACTAAACTATAAATATTCTCATTGTCCATGAGATGCACAGGAGGGTTTGAGTGCTTCTCCTCCTACAGTATAAAAGGTATTTTTTTGCTTTTATTTAAAAACTCCCAGAGATGCCTGGCTGGCTCAGTCGGTGGAGCGTGTGACTCTTGATCTCGGGGTTGTGGATTCGAGCCCCATATTGGGTGTAGAGATTACTTTAAAATCTTTAAAAACTCCCAGATATCACAAACTGTTGTGGAACATCTTTGGGACAGTGAATAGTTGTTCTTTTTCTGTTTTTAATTGAGTTTCATTGGTCTCTTATAAGAGAGTAAACTTAATCTCTGGCTCCCTTTACAGGTGGTATAAGACTAGATTCAACTTTGTTTTTCAAACTTTCTAGGGAAGTGTAATGATCAAAAGTCGCATATTTGTTTAGGTAGCAGGAACTAAATGGTAAAGCCCACTTGCACACTAATTTCTGCCTTTTCTGACTCAGTGGCATCTTGAATGTCCATCCCAGTTGCCTCCCGAGGTGGCGTGGTCCAGCCCCTATAATCCATACCGTGCTTCACGGAGACACAGTTACTGGAGTAACGATTATGCAAATTAGGCCTAAAAGGTAGAAGATATTTTCTTGTCTCTAGACTTTGTAGTTTTGAATGTTGATGTCAGTCTGTTGGGAGGAGACGTGAAAGTGGATGAATGGATGGTGCTCACTAATTCCTCTAACTCCAGAGTGCCTTCCCTCTCTGTCTTTTCCTGGTTTCTAATATAAACTATATGTGGTTTGGTGTTATGTAGTGTCTCTGTAAGTCCTTGTGAAATATTTGACTTGTTAACTGGAATAAATTATATTACTAACAGCCAGATTTCTATAAAGAACATTGTGCAAATGAGAGATGGATTTTTGGATATGAGTTGTAATGAATCGTGGTTCTGCTGGCCTTGGTTTCTATGGTCAAAAAATTTTTGGAACCTGAAGACTACAGTATATGCCAATGTGTATTTATCTTAAACATTTGATTTTTTTTATCCTACTGTAGTCTAAAACAGGATTATATTAAGCTTCTATCTGTTATCACCTCATGTCCCCATAGAAAATAATTCACAACTTCACAAGAACAACTGCATACCTGGGATTTGCTTTAACTTACTTCAGAAAACAAGAGGGACAGATGAAATGAGTTGTAAAACTTTGATAATTCTAAACTCTGGGTGATGTTATGGGGATTCAAGATACCATTCACTCTGTTTTTTGTGGATGTTTGTAAAATAATAAGCATTTTATTCAAGCTCTTAGGTTGGAAATAGAATTAACAACCACAAAGTTAAGTATTTAAAATGAAGCGTATTTCTGGGGTGCCTGAGTGGCTCAGTCGTTAAGCGTCTGCCTTCTGCTCCGGTCATGATCCCGGGGTTCTGGGATCAAGCCCCACATCAGGCTCCCTGCTCAGCGGGGAGCCTGCTTCTCCTTTTCCCATTCCTCCTGCTTGTGTTCCCTCTCTCACTGTCTCTCTCTCTGTGTCAAATAAATAAATTAAAAATCTTTAAAAAAATAAAAATAAAAAAATAAAATGAAGCGTATTTCTAATAAAAGCTGATAGCCAGTATTTATGGAGCTTAATGTAAAATGTAAGACTGTGGGAATGCAAATACACTTGTACCTATTTATAATCACCAATGATTAGAATCCAGGCAAAACTCTTGTCCTTTATTGGGGAGAGTATGTGCTATGGTGAGCACTGTGAATTGTGTAAGAGTGATGAATCACAGACCTGTACCCCTGAAACAAATAATACATTATAAAAATTAATTAATTAATTAATTAAAAAAACCTCTTGTCCTTTGAGAAAGGAAATATAGAAAGAAATCATGAATTTTTTAATGGTACTTCCTTGGAAAATAAATTTTTTGCTCTATGCCCTCATTGTATAAATAGAAGCTTTTAAAATACTGTTTGTTACTAAAGGTGGAATTATTTGCAGGTGCAATTAAATCCCTGATATGCAACTTCCCATACTTTTCTCCTTTAGAAAAAAAAATAGATTTAAAATCTGAGTACAGGCCAGATTTTGCTTTCCCTTCTCTTAAACTGACGTTTCTCTTTTGCTAAACAGTCAAATCCACAGCCAGGGTTAAACTATCTTTGTGGTATGTAAACACTCATGTAGATAAACCTGTTGATCTGAAGGAACAGTAATGTTGTTATTTGCTTTTGATTTTTGGTAGGTTTGATGTCGGCCCAATTCTCAAACAGGAGGTCGTTCCTGTGCCACCTAAGAGCACTGCCAAGGAGCTGGAGGAAGTGCTGTCAAGACTGGGGGCCAACATGGTACGGTTCTCTAACATCCCACTGCTTTGTGCTCATTTCCTGGGTCTCCTGCCTGTCAGTAATGCAAAGAACACTTCGGCAATGCGTCATTTTCAGCTTTTTGTTTCTTTTAATTGATTCCTCTCCCTGCTTCCTAAAATCGAGGTTGGCATTTCTCATATAAGTCTTTGGGAAATGTACAGAGTGGGTACTTAGTACAGGCTCTCCTGAAACACGCAAGCTTCTGTGGCCCCCCACATTCCAGTGAGGCCATTAGATGCTGCTTCCCAGTTTCAGCCTCCGGCTCCTAGACTCGCCTGGCGCCCCTGTCAAACTGGCCAACAGCCATCCCCTCAGTGACCCTGCATTCCTCCACTTTTGCGCCTGCACTGAGGTCATCGCCTCCATACGCCCTGGAGTTCTGCTGACCCCCTCCTGTAAATGAACTCTTTGGCTTTGTATAGCTCAAATCTGCATACAGGAGGTCTGAGTCAGTGCTTAATAACCAAGTCACTGATTTTCATATGAACTAGTTAATTTTCTGTAGAGGATAGTTTTTCCCCAACTATCTAGATGGTGCTTCCTAATCTGGGCACTTGCCTCAGAAATGGTATTGTAATAATAGTGGCTCTCGTTTTTCGAGCACGGGCTTGTGTGCCAGGACTATTCTGGATCCCCTGTAGACTTATTTTTTTTTTTTTTTTTTTTTACCTTCCCAACAAACAAAGAGGTAGCCTGTTACTGTCGCCAGTTTTTAAAGATGATGACACTGAAGGCCACACAAGTCAAATAACTTTCCCACAATGACACATGAGTAGGTGGTGGAATTGGGATTTGAACTCAGAACTGTGTGGCTCCAGAGTACACTTTCCTTCTTTGAGGCTCCACTGCCTTCCCTCCTAGGAATTAGAGTGTGGCTTCCTGAGCACACGTTGTCCTGACAAGAAGAGTTTGCATAGCCAGTGGAGCTCAGCATTCTCTGGAAGCACATCTTTGCTCTGTCCTCTGCAGAGAGCATCACCACTGAGACTCCATTGAGGAGACCTGTCTTGTCACAGCTTAAGGCTCTAGTTTACCGCCTTGCCCTCCCACACAGCTCCTTCAAAGCTTTCCATAATGTCATGGTACTCAATTATAATGTAGCTTTGCTTTTGTTCTTTTCATCTTGAATATGTTGCTCTCCCTTTTTTTTTTTTAAGCTTATTTCAGTTTTGAAAAATTTGCCTGAGAGTTTGAGCAATGGAAGGCAGCAGCCAACTGAGGGAGTGACACATGGTGAGTGAAGGCTGCAGAGACCCTTATCCCTTCACGCGGTTTTTGTCTGTCATGATAGCACCTGAACGCTCTGACTTCACTGGCACATTGCCCTTGATTTTGACTAAAGATCGAGTGCCCATTTGTATGTCCCTTTCCAAAGAATGGCTGGTATAGTCTCCCTTCTCCTCTTAACATGTAGTCTCTTGAAGGATTGGAAATTTTTTCCCTATTCTTTATATTGAAAAGTACCAAACACGGAGATAAGTTAAAAGATGATGAATACCAGGGCACCCGGGTGGCGCAGTCAGTTAAGCATCCGACTGTTGGTTTTGGCTCAGGTCATGATCTCAGGGTCATGAGATCGAACCCCACATCGGGTTCTGCGTTCAGTGGGGAGTCTGCTTAAGATTCTCTTCCTCTCCCTTTGCCCCTCCCTCACTCTCTCTAAGGTAATAAGATAAATAAATCTTTAATTTAAAAAAAATGAATACCTGTTTAACCCAGACTCAGTAATTATTAATTATTAATATTTGGTCATATTTTCTTTTTCTATGTGTATGTGTTTGTTTAATATATATTTAGTATATATATATTTTAAATTTCTGCTTAATCCTGTGGAAGTATGCATCATAACCTTTCATTCATTCGTAAATACTTCAACATGCATCTCTCTTTTTTTTTTTAAGATTTTATTTATTTATTTGTCAGAGGGAGAGGGGGAGAGAGAGAGAGAGAGAGAGCACAAGCAGGGGGAGTGCAGGCAGAGGGAGAAGCAGGCTCCTGCTGAGCAAGGAGCCCAGTGCGGGACTCGATCCCAGGACCCTGAGATCAAGACCCGAGCCGAAGGCCGACGCATTCTTGACTGAGCCACCCAAGCATCCCTCAACATCCATCTCTTAAGAGAAATGAATAGTTCCCTAATAGTGTCTAATATCCAGTACGTAAATGTTCCTAATTGTCTAAAAACTTATTTTTTAGCTGTATAGTTATTCAAACTAGTATCTAATTATAATTAGTTGGTATGTTTCTTTAATCTAGAGTAATTCCTCCATTATTTTTCCCCCTCCATGTCATTGACTTTTTGAAGAGAATAGGCTAGTTGTCTATTTCCTTCCAGTGTTGTTTAACTTGTTTTTCTAGCCTTTATATTTCTTGTGAGTTGGAAATTCTAAAGGCTTGATGAGACTTAGGCTTGAAGTTTTTGGAAAGAGTATTTCATAGATGATGTTGTGTTCCAGTGGTATTTGTTTCAGTTTGTTTTTAATTTTAAGGATTGCTTTTTATTTTTACTTATGATTTATTTCTTGACTACGTAAAACATTTACATGATTCAAAAGTCAAAACTGTTTAAAAGGATATACTCAGAGAAGTATCACCTCTCTCTGCTCTAGTGTTTGGATGTCACATCAGTGAGCCATAATACCAGGTTGCATCAAGGCTGGTGAAGTTGAGTTTGATCACTTGGGTTGAGTCCAGTGTAAAGATTTGTTTTTCCCTTTGCAGTTGGCAGGTAATCTGTGGGGTAACACTTTGGCACCATGCAAACATCCTGTTCTCTAACAATCTTTCACATAATGATTTTGGCATGGGTTGGTGCTTCTTCCCTGAATGAATTATTTTGTTTGGGATTGCAAAATGGTGATTTTCCAATTCCTTTTACCTTTAATATTTGGCATTATTCTGTAAAGAAGAGCTTTTCCTCATTAACTGAAGATGAATCTTAGTTCATCCTAAAATGGCAGGATCAATACTTAATTCTTTCTCTACCAATTTTTAGATAAGAAGTTGGTGCCACAATCACCTTCAATTATGGTGGCAAATGAATTTTTTAAATTATGATTTGACTCATGGATTTTCACTTATTGTGTTTTACAGTTAATTATAATTCTTTGTCCTGCTCAAGTTATCCCAAATTTGGCCAGTGGGAGCCCCCTAAAGTTGGGTCCTGAATCCTTTTGACAACCTTAACTAGTTTTTGAGTGCTTCCTTGTTTTCTTTTATAAGATGTCCCAGACTCACCTTATGAATTCTCTGTCCCATGTTGGAATGAACCATCTCCCCCTTGTTTGTTTTAGTGAGGGGGTTGGTATTTAGATGCCATCTGGTACAACAGTGTGCACCAAGATAAGGTGTCAATGGACAAGGTGAGGCATTATATTTTTTAAATAATATTTGAGTTCATACCATTACTGATTCAAATATTTATTTAAGATTTTATTTATTTATTTGAGAGAGAGAGAGAGCGAGCAGGGGGAGGAGCAGAGGGAGAGGGACAAGCAGACTCTGGGCTGAGCATGGAGCCCAATGCAGTGCTCGATCCAACAACTCTGAGATCATGACCTGAGCTGCAATCAAGGGTCAGACACTCAGCTGACTGAGCCACCCAGCCCCCCCCATTCAAATTTTGAATTTCAGGGTTTTTCTTATATTTTCTTTTAAACTGAGTATCTTTTCAAAAGTTAATACTGACCTATTTATTTAATTGCTAGGCATAAAATAGTTTTAAAATTACACCACCAGTGTTATTAAAACAGTAAAATTGCTGAGTAATATTTCATATTCCTCTGCAGGGTTTTTTTTGTTTTTGTTTTTTTTGCCCATAGACTATATCCTGCTAAGAGTATGCAATCAGAGTATTGTGTCCAAAACTTACTGGAGATGATGATTATTTTTCCCATGTGGTTTTGTTACCCAGTTTGATATATAGTTAGGTTTATTTGTTTCAGTTTGTTTTCAATTTTCAGAGTTGCTTTTTTTTCTCTTTATGATTAAACTTTATTTTTTGAATCATATAAAACATCTTTGATTAAAAAATATAAGCTTTTTGAAAAAGTATACTCACAGAAGTCTCACTTCCATCCCTAGCTGCTCCTCCCTGTTTCCCTCCATGAGTGAGTCATTTTTATGAGTTTATGCTTTAGCCTTCCAGTTGTTTCCTTTTATCAAAATAAGCAAATACCACATATTTTTAAATTGATTTTTCCTTTATTCTGTCACAAAAGGTGGCATAAAATATATACTCTTTTGTACCTTTGGTTTTTTGGGTTTGTTTGGTTGGTTGGTTTTTGTTTTTGTTTTTTTTACTTAACTGTGTACCCTGGAAATCCTTTCCTATCAATAAGAAGAGATTTTCCTTGTTCCTCTTGATGGCAGCATAGTTCTTACTTATGTGGATGTATCATAACTTATTCAACAGATCCCCTGTTGATGGACATTTTGTTTGTTTCCAAACTTTTGCTATTTCAAATAATGCCATTATAAATAACTTGAAGCATATGTTACTTCCAAATCCAATAGATGAGAAATTGCATCTTGGAGTAGTTTTAATTTACATTACTCCTGTGAGTGAGGTTGAGGATCTTTTTGTATGTTTAAAGACTACTCGGCATTTCTTTTTTCCAGGAAGGAACATTATATCTTTTGCCCATTTTTCTATCACATTTTTGGGCTTTTACTTCTTAGTTTTTAGGAGTACTTTATTTGATAGATATAAATAAATCTACATAATAGATATAAAGTAGTCCTAGATATTACATTATTATTACATAGATACATGTTTAGATTAACATGTAATTATAAATTTTATATTTTTTTAATTCTTTTTTAAAGATTTTATTTATTTATTTGAGAGAGAGAGAGAGAAACAGCATGAGAGGGGAGAGAATCAGAGGGAGAAGCAGGCTCCCCGCTGAGCCAGGAGCCAGATGTGGGACTCGATCCCAGGACTCCGGGACCATGACCTGAGCCGAAGACAGTTGCTTAACCAACTGAGCCACCCAGGCGCCCTAAATTTTATATTTGTTATAAATAGATCTAAAGTATTATGATAAAAATTACAAATACTTTCTGGTTTGTTTTTTTGTTGTTGTGTTGTTGTTTTTTAAGTAATCTCTACACTCAGCATGGGGCTCGAATTTACAAACCCAGTATTGAGAGTCTCATGCTCTACCAACTGAGCCAGCCAGGCACCCCTGTCTTTGTTTTTAGACTTGATTTATGACCTTTCTTTTTGTCTTACAGAAGTTTATTTATTTATTTATTTATTTATTTTTAAAGATTTTATTTATTTACTTGAGAGAGAGAATGAGAGAGAGAGAGCACATGAGAGGGGGGAGGGTCAGAGGGCGAAGCAGACTCCCTGCTGAGCAGGGAGCCCGATGCGGGACTCGATCCAGGGACTCCAGGACCATGACCTGAGCCGAAGGCAGTCACTTAACCAACTGAGCCACCCAGGCGCCCCAGAAGTTTATTTTTATTAAAAGTTTATTTTTATGTAGTCATATTTGTCATTCTTTAATTGCTTCTGAATTTTGAGTCATTGTTAGAAGGGCTTTTTCTACTCCTGGGTTACAAAGAAATTCACCCATTTTTCTTTTAGTATTTGTATGATTGATTTATTTTTACTTTATATTATGGAAAATTTCAAACGTATTCAAAAGTTGAAAAAATAATACAAGTTCTCTTGTATCATTCAGCATCAGTAGTTGCCAGTTCAGGGGTGCCTGGGTGGCTCAGTCGTTAAGTGTCTGCCTTCGGCTCAGGTCATGATCCCAGGGTCCTGGGATCGAGCCCCACATCAGGCTCCCTGCTCAGTGGGAAGCCTGCTTCTCCCTCTCCCACTCCCCCTGCTTGTGCTCTCTCTCTCAAATAAATAAGTAAAATCTTAAAAAAAATAGTTACCAGTTCATGGACATAGAGTCTGATATTTAGTCTTGCTCTTGGCTTTATCTTGTAGCCCCTAAGATTTCTGCTGGTACCAGCTGTATAAAATGGGAGGAACAAACTTCAGAGCAAATATTCAGACTTTATCGTGCCATTGGAACTATAGTAAGTTGGAAGTCAGATTGCAGTTTTACCTAATTGTGTGTGTGTTTAATTCATTTTCAAAATATTTTTACTTAGGAATGAATCTGAACTAAACCTAAGAATCCTGAAATTCATTTTATTCTTAAAACTTTTAATCTGATAAAATATACATAAATTTACCATTTTAACAATTTTTAAGTGTATAAATAAGTAGCATTCAGTACATTCATATCGTTGTGCAACCATTGCTACTATCCATCTCCAGAACTTTTTCATCATCCCAAACTGAAACTCTGTACCCACTGAACACTAATTCCCCATCCCCCTTCCCACAGTCCCTGGTAACCACTATCCTACTTTCTGCCTCTTAGAATTTGCTTATTCTAGGTACCTCATATAAGTGGAATCATACAATATTCGTCCTTTTGTGTCTGGCTCATTTCACCTAGCATAATGTCCTTAAGGTTAATCCATGCTGTACCATGTATCAGAATGTCATTTCTTTTTAAGTCTGAAAAACATTCCATTGTATGTATATACCACATTTTGTTTATCTGTTTATCAGTCAGCGGAGGTTTGGGTCATTTCCCCCTTTTGGCTATTGTGAATAACGCTGCCGTGAACACTGGTGTACAAATATGTTCGAGTCCTTGCTTTCAAAAATTCTTTTGTGTATATGAAATTCATTTTTTAAATATTCTTTAAACTTCAAGTTTTTATATGGGCCTTAGAATTCACAAAGCACTTTTGAATATACATATATATTCTGCAGTTTCCCATAACCAAGTTTTATTACCCATTTCATAGATGAGAGGAATGAAAGTGAAGCAATGAACTTCAGGGTGCCCCATCACAAAATAATGAATCTAAATTTTCAAATGCCTAATCCAGTGCTTTTCCCAGTATATCTTTCTGCCCGTAGCCAATTTTTTACAACTGAATTCTTAAATCATCAATTTCTACAGATGGTACACAAAATGAAGTTGTAACTGTAACTTATTAAATAGTTCTTTATTTGTACTTTTAGTATTTATTAAATACTTACTAAAATACCTGGGGCACCTGGCTGGCTCAGTTGGTGGAGCGTATGACTCTTGATCTCAGGGTTGTAAGTTCAAGCCCCACATTGAGGGTGTAGAGATTACTTAAAATCTTTTTTAAAAATTAAAAAAGATACTTATTAAAAAACCTGAGTTCAATTCTCAGTTCTTTGACAAATGTATTGGGTTTTTTTTCCCCTTCATTTTGATAGCCTCTTGGGTTGTTTGAACTTGGGGCCTACCAAGTGTAGGGTTTTTAATGGGCCACCTGTTATTAACATTGATTAAGATGGAGACCTGCCACTGCATATTTCTAGCATGCCAGGTTCTTCAGTGAGCATCTCAACCTCATGTGTGGGTATCATCTGATTTTAAGATGATGAAATTGGACTTAAGACTTTGAGAATGCATGGTTACTGAATATTGCTAAAGGTCACATTGCCAGTTAGTGAGAGGCAGGTTTTGAACCAGATCTGTCTGACTTCAAACCTGGTACTTTTCCCACAGAAAAGCAGAATGGCATAGAGAAAGGAATATGGACTTTAGAGCCAGGCAGAGTTGGGTTTCATCTTGTCTCTGCCACTTCCTAATTTGATAGACTTGGGAAAATTATTTAACCTCTGAGCTTTAGTTTGTTCATCTAAAAATTAGGGCTGATACAATGTATATAAAGCATCTAGTATAGTATCTGGCAAAGAGTAGGTACTCATTAAATGTTATCTGCTATTATTCATGCATTCATTAAGCAAAATTGTTTTTAAAGATGTTATTTATTTGTCAGAGAGACAGAGAGAGTACAGCAGGGGGAGCAGCAGGCAGAGGTGGAGGGAGAAGCAGGCTCCCCGCTGAGCAGGGAGCCCAACGCAAGGCTTGATCCCAGGACCCTGGGATCATGACCTGAGCCGAAGGCAGATGCTTAACTGACTGAGCCCTATTATGTGTCAGGCATTGTACCAGATATTAGAGATAAAGATGACGTGAGAAGGCAGAAACAAATAAGGAAATAAATAAAAATATTAGGTAGTGTGGTAAGTTCTTTGATGAAAATTAAAATAGGAAAACGTGATAGACTAACTGGTGGTTATTTTAGATTAGGTAGGTGGGGAAGGCATCTCTGAGCTGACATTTCAGCTTTGATTTGAAAGACAGTAAGGAGCCAGTCATGCCAAGATGAGGAAAATGGCATTCCAGGCGGAGGGAGCAGCTAGTACAAAACCTAAGGTGGACTAAACAAGATGAAGACTTCACAAGAAAAGAAAAGCCACACATCAGTATCCCTTATGAATAGAGTGGCAAAAATTCTCAGCAGAATTAGCAAACTATATTAAACAACATATAAAAAAGGATTATATACCATGACCAAGTAGGGTTTATATGAGGAATGCAAGGTTGAATCAACATACAAAAACCAACCCATGTAATACACCATATTAATAGAATAAAGGGCAAAAGCCACCTGATTTACTCAGTAGTTGCAGAAAAAGCACTTAACAAAAATCAAACACCCTTTCATGATAAAAATGTTCAACAAACTAAGAAGGGAACTTCCTCGGGGTGCCTGGGTGGCTGAGTCGTTAAGCGTGTGCCTTCGGCCAGGATCCTGGGATCGAGCCCCACATCAGGCTCCCTGCTCCGTGGGAAGCCTGCTTCTCCCTCTCCCACTCCCCCTGCTTGTGTTCCCTCTCTTGCTGTCTCTCTCTCTGTCAAATAAATAAAATCTTAAAAAAAAAAAAAAAGGAACTTCCTCAACCTGACAGAAACCCACAGCTAACATCATATTTAATGGTGAAAGCCTGAAAGCTTTCCACCTAAGATCAGGAACAAGACAAAGATGTCCACTCTCACCAGTTCTATTCAGCATTGTGCTGGAAGTTCTAGCCAGGGCTATTAGGCAAGAAAAAAGAAACAATACGGAATCAGACTGCAAAGGAATAAGTAAAACTCTATGTGCAGATGACATGATCTTATATACAGAAAATCATAAAGAATCCAAAAGAAACTTTAGAGCTAATAAGCAGTAAAGAAGACCTAAGTAAATGGAAAGACCTTGTTGTTCATGGGTTGAAAGACTTAATGTTGTTAAGATGGCACTATTCCCCAAATTGATCCACAGATTCAACACAATTCCTATAAAAATCCCAGTTGACGTCTTTGCAGAAATTGACAAGCTGATCCTAAAATTCATATGGAATCCCAAGAGACCCAGAATTGCCAAAAAATCTTGAAAAAGAAGGACAGAGTTAAAGAACTCACCCTTCCTAATTTCAAAACTTACTACAAAGCTACAGTAATGAAGACAGTGGGATACTGACATAAGGATAGACCTGTTTCTCAATGGAATAGAATTGAGAGCCCAGAAATAAGCCTTCATGTTTATGGTCAATCGCTTTTTGATAGGGGTACCAGCATAGTTTGATGGGGAAAGAATAGTTTTTTTAACACATGGTGCTTAGACAGCTGGATATCCATAATCAAAAGAAATGATTTTGGATTCCTACCTTACAAACTCCAAATGGATCAGAGACCTAAATATAAGAGCTTAAATGATAAGACTCTTGGAAGAAAACATATGGGTAAATCTTCATGACCTTGAATTAGGCAGTGGTTCTTAGATATGTTGTCTACAGCCTAAGCAACCAAACTAAAAATACAGAAATTAGACTTGAAAATCAAAAACTGTTGGGGCTTCAAAGAATACTATCAAGAATACGAAGAGACAACCTATAGAGGGGAAGAAAATATTTGCAAATCATATATCTGATAATGTATCAGATCCAGAATATATAAGGATCTCTTACAGCTCTACTACAAAAAGACAAATGTGATTAGAAAATGGGTAAAGCATCTAAATAGATATTTCTTCCAAGAAGATCTATAATAATAGATGATCATTTTCATTAGTCATTAGGGAAATGCAAATCAAAACTGTACAGAGATACCACTTCACACCCACTAGGATAGCTATAATTTAAAAATTTTAAAAACAGACAATAAGTATTGACAAGGATGTGGAGAAATTTAGAACCTTCATACATTGTTGGTGGGAATGCAAGCTGGTGCAGCTGCTATGGAAAAGCAGTTCGACAGTTCCTCAAAAAGTTAAACACAGGGGTGCCTGGCTGGTTCAGTTGGTACAGCGTGCAACTCTTGATCTTGGGGTTGTGAGTTCAATCCCTACACCGGGTGTAGAGATCACATAGAAATAAAATCTTAAAAAAGTTAAACACAGTCACATTACCATAAAATGATCCTTATCTTCTGCAATTCACCTTTCCTCTTCACTGAGAAAAAGCTTGTGCTATAACAGAAGGTGAAATTTGATTCCTATAGCTGCCAATTACCACCCAAGAGCAAAATCCGTATCTTCGGGTTTCTGCTTTTTTACTTCTAGAACAGGGTTAATAACCACGTCCACAACTGCCAAGATCAAAGGAGATAAACCTTGTGGATTAAATCCATGCAAACATATGATTTTGACAGTAATGATGGTGATACTGAGATGACTATATTCTTACCATCCCTTTCCTTTCTGCAATGCTGTGATGATAAGGTGAGGATGAGCTTTACCCTCCTCAAGAACAAGAAGTATATATTCTGAACAAGAACTATATACCTAGCATATTTATAACTCTCAGTAAATACAAATCTTTCTTTAGTCAGCATGTTTCAAAAGTCTTTTGAGTTCTTTGAAAGAAAAAAGTTGCACGTGTGAAAATTGTTTCCTAACTTTTACTGGAAATGGGTGAAAGGAAAATAAGCCAGCAAATTATAGAAGAGGATATTGTACCAAAACATATCTTATGTAAGATCATGAACGTCTATGAACTTTTCTTCAAATTTATTTAATTTCTTGATGTCACATTCAGATCTTTGAAACAATCTAACTCTTCTGAAAAATTAAATGTCCTCTTTGGGGGAGGTCATAAAGAGCATTGAATGCTGAGAATGAGAAAACCTAGATTCTGGTCCTAGGCTCTACCTGTGTCTAAACTTGGGAAAATAGCTGCATTTCTCTGGGCCTCACTTTTCCTTGTCTATGAAATAGAGGATTGAGCTACAGTCTGAAAATAAATTTATTTACTTCAGAAATTTGAGAGAACTTATTTCCTGGTACATGTTAATTTTTATTAGTCTGAAATCAAAATGTGATGAAAGTGGCATTTCACATTGTGGGGAAGGGTGAGATGGATTATCCAGTAAATAGGGTTGGGACAACTGAACTGGTTAGCTATTAGAGGGGGAGGCCCTCAAATCCTGCCTTTCAAAGTCAGTAATATCTAGACGGGTCAAGCATTTAAATGTAAAAGAGTGAAACCACAAAGAACAGAGGGAAAAGCACAGTTGAATAATTTTATAATATTTAATAATCTTAAAGTGTGGGATAGCCCTTTTTGAGCTTGACGTGAACCACTAGAGCCAGGAGAGAAAAAAACTGGCTAATATTACTCCATAAAAATAAAAACACTTATGCATGGGAAAAAAATTACTGTACCCTAGTTTAAAAGTCCATACGCTGGGGAAAATGGCTATTAATAGTAGCAAGAAATTGAAAATAATTGAAATGTCCATCATAAAGCTATTGATTGCATAAATTATGGTATAGTCAAGATGGAAGTGCTGTGCTACAGATATAGAGGGAAATAGACATGCATGCACTGATGAAAGTTGTCCGTGCTTCAATCGTTAGGCAAAAAAGTTCCTTGTAAGAGTACGTTCTAGATTTTTGTAATATTTGCAGGAAAAAAATACAAGGATATACACATCAAATTGTTAACAGTGGTTACTTCTCAGGATGGGAATACAGAATAATTTCTAAATTTTTTAAAACTTTTTTTAAAAGTTTTATTAATTTAAGTATCTCTATGCCCAACATGGGACTCAAACTCACAACCCTGAGTTCAAGAGTCACAAGCTCCTCCGACTGAGCCAGCCAGGTATCCCTACTTTCTAAATTTTTTTAACATAATTGTAATGCTTGCATTTTTTTAAATGAGCATAAATTTAAATTAGAAATATTAATAAAGATATAAACATTGATTTTTAAAATAGTGTTTAAGGTCTTATCAAACTTGGAGACTGATGTAGAGGGTCGCATCTGTGTTCTGTTGCATAAGATTTAGAGACTCAGTTCCCAATTCTTCTGTAACTGAGAGAGAAGTCAGACCAAATTAATGCAAAATAGTAGTTGAAAAGGGTTTGGGGGTTGAGTGTATTCCATTATCATACCTTCTTTAATTTTATTTGCAGATTCCGTTGCAGACTCTCTGGATGGATAATACCATTAAACTTCTGGATTTGGTAGAAGTTAATAGTTCAGTCCTCACTGGTACTAACTTTTGAATAGCTGATGTGGAAAATGTTTTCACTATACTCCATTTGAAAATGTATCTGTTTTACCATAGGTCACATTTACTAAAAATAAGGATTCTTTTAGTTTGTGTCAGTTCAGTAATGACAATGCTTTATACTCATTTATTGTCTTACTCTTTGCAGTGTCCATTCTCATGTATTTTTTCATTCAGTCATCCTAAGAATGTGGGAAGTAGGCAAAGCAGTCTTACTATCCCATTTTAAGCTCTGTGATTTCCTACACTAAGGTTTTCAGGGAGTGCAGAATGACTTGGTCATTTTCATTCTGCTGAATATCATAATGAAAATCCCTCGGCAGCTCAGTGAGAATCCTAGGCCAGGGTGTAGCATTTCGTGACACAGTCCATTCTGAGGCACATCAGTGCCCTCCCAGTACGGTGGGCTGAAGGAGTGGGAGCCACAGAAGGAGCTGGTCCAGCTCAGAGAGAGTCAGAGATCCCCAGGAATCTCATTTGTTGGGTCATGGATGGAAGGGCCAGCTTAGATCCTAAGCTTCCTGTATTCCTCTCCACTGGTAGCTAGTTATTTCCCCCAAATGGTCAAAACTTCTAAATTCGACATTTTTAGGTTGATCTTTGGGAGACTGGGTAAAGGACAGGTAAGTTCCTATGTGTATGGAAAGCTTCCCTTTGGGTTTGAGATGCATTAGAGCACTGTGGCTCCATCATAAGTTTGGATTACAGAGTCAGGGCATCAGCAGGTATGCCCTCTAATATTAATACTGCCTCCTGGGATGTTTTTTTTATTTTTAAGCACCATGAAGTTGCTTAATTATTTATTCTCTCTCATATCCTTCTTCTCCCCACCCCCCAATTCTTTAGATCCAAAATTAAGAGAACAACCTGTTATTCCAGGATCAGTAATATACCACAAACAGTCACAAATACTGCTGGTTTGTTGCAAGGTATATTTTCCTTTAGTTTTAAATTATACTTGTTTTATTGAGTTTATAGTTTATCATTTTTAGTTAAGACTTCACTCAACTGTTTATCCATCAGAGTGAGCCACTGGACAGTTTAATTTTTCTTAAGAAATAGTAGAATCTCTAGTGTAATTTTTGAAAGTGATGAAGTTTTACCAAGGCATTATTACTGAAAGAAGATTCAGTAAGTTTAGGCTTTCTTAAAAGAAACTTGTATATTCTCAGTAGTAATTTAATTAACAAGTTCTTGTTAATAACTAGCAAGTCTTGTTTAACTAGCAACTCATCTTGTTAGTATGATGATCATAGAAGATAGCCATAGTGGAGTATCTAGCTGAACTACTACAGTGCAGGTATCCTACTTGCTTTTATTGTTCCATAGTGGTTAAAGAGGAGATTTTTTAACCTATTTAAAATGACTTTCGAACCATTATTATTTTATGACAATGGCCTGAGAAATGTTCCACATTTCTTCCATTTTCTGGTATTTTCCTTCATATGGTGTTTATGTGCAATGTTTCGTGCTCAAGAGGCCGTGTTTAAAATGTGTGATAGGGTGATCTGACCTACACAGACTGTAGATAAAGAGCTCCCACATCAGCCTCTTTTCATCTTTCTTCAGCTTATTCTCAAACGGTATAGGGTCTATATTGCAAATTTGCAGTTTGCTGTCCTAGAAGAAGCTGGGGTTGTCTGAACATGTGAGTTTAAGTCCCATGAGTTATGTCACCTCGGACAAATCACTCACCTCCCTGGGCATCAGTTTTCTCTTCTAAAATCAATTTCCGCTGGGGATGATATTGGATCTGCCTACTTTTAGAGTGGTTATATTTTTGATGACCAGTCATAATAAGATACATGGACATATTCTGAAAACTGTAAAGTACCATGCCAGTATGACACACTTCTTTTTTCTGCCCCCTTTATGTTTAAGTAGGTTTAATTTATACAGGTCTGTATATTTGTTATCACTCAGTAATAAACTTAGAGTCAAAGAATCATATATGTCACTTAGTACAGTGCTATCTGCAGCTAGGCATTTGGTAAAGATTTGTAGGTTTTCATGATAAAAGTTGTATAAGCTAAAATTTACCACCAGTTTTGCCACCACTGCCTGTTCACTGTTTGTCTTTTGCCCTTAGGATGGCTGGATTGGTATTCGATCAGTGATGCTCAAGAAAACACTAACAGCTACTGATTTCTACAATGGGTATCTGCACCCCTGGTACCAGAAAGATTCCCAAGCTCAACCAAGGCAGTGCAGATTTCAGACTCTCAGACTTCCAACAAAGAAGAAGCAGGAGAAAAAAAAATTGTTGCTATGCAACAGTGCATTAAGTAGTTAGGAAGTAGATGGACAAGAACCTACTACATATTTGTAATTTATTAAAAGCCACATTTACAAGGAATTACCTTGACTTTCAAAGAAGATGACACTGTTGGAGGGACAGGAAAGAAGATTATTGTCAAAAAGATGAATTACCTCACTTCCCATTTTTTGTTTAACAGTAGTTAAAACCCACTTTTTTATTTGAATAACAAAAAGAGCTTTAAATAAATTTTTTATTTATAATGTGAAACTCAAGGAGATTTTATCTTTCCCTAAAAGCAAATGCAACTAACTAGTAACTAGTGTGTGTGTAGACACACACACACACGTACCCCTACTGAATAGAGGTTCCTTTAAAAAAGTGCATCTATGAAATTTTTTAGATCATATGTCCCCATTGATTATGCTATCATTTCAGCAGTATTTAATCTACATTTCTGATTTTTAACAAGCCGTAAAGTCAGCTCTTTAAATTTATCTACCATCTAGTTCTCATAAAGTAGTAAACATACATAATATTTAATCATCTCTGTCACATGAATCTGTACTATAAATTCATGTTTTACATCTAGGTTTTCTTAATGTAGGGATATGCTAACATTTTTCAACTTAATTGTGCAATAAAGGTTACTGAGCATCTGGTCTGTGCAAACTCATCTCTGTCTCCAAGAGACTCAAGCACTTCTGGGGAAGGAAAGGCATTAGCGGCCAGCTGTTGAATTTTTGAAAATCTTTACATATCGGCTCTTCCTGCTTAGATTCTATCAGTAAAAATCTTTTTCCATTCATTAATTCATCCATTCCACATTTATTGATAGGGTGATCTTATAATTGGTCATCTAAATTAGGCACATTCATGAGTAAAGGAAGCACTTATAATAATTACTCCTGCACAACAGGCATAAACCAGGACTCTCTGGGGCACCTGGGTGGCTCAGTCGTTAAGCGTCTGCCTTCGGCTCAGGTGATGATCTCAGGGTCCTGGGATCGAGCCCCGCATCGGGCTCCCTGCTCTGCGGGAAGCCTGCTTCTCTTCTACTCCCCCTGCTTGTGTTCCCTCTCTCGTTGTGTCTCTGCCAAATAAATAAAATCTTTAAAAAAAAAAAAAAAAACAGGGCACCTGGGTGGCTCAGTTGGTTGGGCGACTGCCTTCAGCTCAGGTCATGATCCTGGAGTTCCGGGATCGGGTCCCGTATCGGGCTCCCTGCTCAGCAGGGAGTCTGCTTCTCCCTCTGACCCTCCCTCCTCTCATGTGCTCTCTCTCTCTCATTCTCTCTCTCAAATAAATAAATAAAATCTTAAAAAAAAAAAACACAGGACTCTCAGGCAAACCAGGTTGTATAGACATCCATCCTATTTACTGAACACTTGCTGTGCTACCAGCCTTTACGCTGCTTGCTGGAGATTCAGAGATTAAATAATATTTGGTATCTTCAATTTACTGGGGAGGCAAACATGTAAGCAAATATAATACTGTTATGAATGCCATAATGGAGGCATAATGGAAACATTAAGTCTCCCATAAGGGATTCAGTGGAGGCTTTCTAGAGGAGGTAAAGCTGAATCTGAGGTTCCAAATGATGATAGTTCACCATGCAGAACTAAAGCATTCTAGCGTGTACACAGGCATAGAGGCATAAAAGAACACTATCTCACAGGGGGTTATGGAAATGTGTTTCTTAACTGGATGGTGGGAGCATGATAGCCTTTTATTATTCTTTAATCCACAAATTTGTTATGCTTTCTCTTCAACGTATGAGCTAGTTACATGCCTACAGATATATATGCTCCTGGCTGGGAAAAAGCTAACAGTGGATCATGGAAGAGCAGCAAACAGTATGTTAAACACGGGGAAAAAGAGCAGTGTTTGGGAGCAAATGGAAGAAGTGACATGTATGGAATAGGGTGGATGGAGACAAGACTGGAAGAGCAAGACAGGAGGGCCACATCACCAAGGACTTGGAAAACCATGAGACTTTAGGTCTTTGTCTTCCATGCAAAAATCAGGGAAGTGATGACCAGACTGGCATTTTGGAGAGGTAACTTTAGTAGTGCCGTGGAAGGTAGAGTGGTAAAAACTGTGGTGGGAAGATCTGGTGGGAAGTTAGGAATCTGAGGATCTGAACTATAGCCGCAGTTACGTGGCTGACCCCTAGGTCCAGGGTCCTCCCAGGAACACAGGTTATTCTGTGCTCTGGCTGAAAGGATGGATTTGCAAAAACATTGCCTCCTTATGCAAGATGCTTCTATTTTGGTTCCTGTAATTGCAAAAAAAATCAGACTCAAAACGGAATTCAGTTACTTATTAAAAGTTGGGTGACCTATGACAAGTTACTTAAATTCTTTAATTATTTCTCAATTTAAAACATGGGTAATACCTACCTTGCAGAATAGAAATACATATAGAATATGCCCAAGGAACTGCCTGGCACATAGTAGATACTCAGTAAGTCCTAGACATTATTGTCAGCACAGTCTAATACTGCTAAAATGCTTTCTTTGAGCCTGCAACAATATTTTCTCCTCTGGATGGCAGCAAGAGCTTGCTGAGATGCCTTCAGACCAACGGGAAGAAAAGAATTTTAGAGTAGGAAAGGTTCTATGATTTTAGTAACTCAAAATTTCATTTAAGAGATGAAACAGGGACTTAGCAAAAGCTAGCTAGTGACAATACTAGGATTAGAACCTCAAGACCACAGTAAATTCTGTTAAAAAAAAGAATTTTACTCGTGGTTTGGTTTGGGTGACAAAAGTTTGCCTGAGCATAAAATCGAGCTCTTGAGAATGGCTGCCGAAAGATGTTTATTGTTTTATACTTTGTATTTAAGACAGTACAAACTTTTCACCACTTTTCTTAATATTCATCAAACAATTTCAAAGTGAAGATAGAAGATTTTGAAAGTGGACACTTACTTCAACAAACATGGCATGAGCCCTGGCCCTGCCACTGACCCTAAGTCTAAGCTGCTTACTCACCCTCTCTAAATCCATTTCCTTATCTATGAAATGAAAATTGTACCTACTTTGCAAGGGATGTCATGAGGAATATATATATGTAATGCACCTAGCACAGTGCCGGGAACACAGTAGGTTCTCAAAAGCATTGTTATTAGCTAAACATTTACTGAGTGCTAGCCACATTTCCAAGGACTTGACCTGAACTATCTCATTTTATCATTACAAATAACCTTGTGAGGCAGATATTGTTCTCCATCCTCATTTTCCAAGAACATTAAATAGCTAGTAAGTGGTAGATAATGGAGTTCACACTCTACTGTTCTGACACCAGTCTGTGGGCCTAACCACTTTCCTACCCTGCCTCTATTTGCAAATGTTTTTATCCTTGATCAGGGAATTTAATGTGTTAGGCTTTGGTGCTCAGAGACAAAGAAGTGGGAGCCCATGCTAATTGAGTGCCTTTTAATATGCAGGCACTATGCTACACAATTTCTTTCAAAAAGATTTTCTCATTTCAGTTACTATTTAATCGTGGTCTTTATTAGCTCTAAGAATTCATAAAGTTTTCTAGAACCCTACAGAGAAAAGCTGCTTTATTTTGTAGTATAATAGTACTGTTCTTGTTTTCCAGGATTCTTTATTGTAATTTTTCTTCCAGAAGATAGATTATCGCATTGTTACTTACAGAAGAAACATTAATGAGATGCTAAGTTGTCAGATGATAAAAAAAGATGTGTTACCTTTGCTTAGGAACTTTTATATTAAAAAGTTAACAATGGATAAACATTAACTTAACTAAGAAGGTAAAATATTGTTTCCATAGAGAGGCATTTTTGTGTGCAGGCTGCTTTTAAAGTTTGATTGGGGGGGGCTTGGGTGGCTCAGTTGGTTAAGTGTCTGCCTTCAGCTCAGGTCATGATCCCAGGGTCCTGGGATTAAGACCCATGTCTGGGGCCCTGCTCAGCAGGGAGTCTGCTTCTCCCTTGCCCTCTGCCCCTCCCCCGTCCTGTTCAAGCTGTCTCTCTCAAATAAATACATAAAAATCTTAAAAAACAGAACAAGTTCTAAAAAATAAATGACTGTATATAACTTGTTTGATAGGACCTTTGTTTCATAGGTAGTAAGCTACAGAATACACATGTCAGCATCTTTCTTGGGCAGTTCCAAAATCCCCACTCTGTGTCTGATCCCTATAATCCAGTGTGGCATGTCTGTGACACAGACTGGGTCCGGCAGTAAGGAAACAGCCTTCATTTTCAGTCTTGGGTCTCAGCATACTTTGATATATAATGCCGTAGTCAAATGTATCCTGGGCAGCTTTAAAGGATGGTATTCCAAGAACTGGTATTACTGTGAAAAACCAAGTGTTTCATTTCTCTTTCACTTTTTCACACATCGATGGTGTCTGGGGGTAAAATAGAGGTAATTCACTCTGGTGGGTCAGGTGGAAGAGGCATTCTAAGTGGAGGGAAGAGTATATATAAACACTTAGAGGTTTGAGACCTCATAGAGTATTGGGCGCCCTTTGAGAGAGCCGGATCTGCTCTTGCCTGTGGACCTGGGACTTTAGCTTGTAGGCAGTAGGGAGCTATTTTTTTGTTTGTTTGTTTGTTTAAGATTTCATCTATCCATTTGACAGAGAGAGAGAACACAAGCAGAGCAGGGGGAGCGGCAGGCTGAGGGAGAGGGAGAAGCAGGCTCCCCGCTGAGCAGGGAGCCCAGTGATGGGAAGGCTTCGTCCCTGGACCCTGGGATCACGACCTGAACTGAAGGCAGATGCTTAACAGACTGAGCCACCGAGGCGCCCCCAGTAGGGAGCTAGTAAAGAAGGAGCAGTGTTTAGAGCATGAATATAGTTGCTTTTATTTATTTTATTTTTTTATTTTTAAAGATTTTATTTATTTATTTGAGAGAGAGAGAGAGAATGAGAGCACATGAGAGGGGTTAGGGTCAGAGGGAGAAGCAGACTCCCTGCTGAGTAGGGAGCCTGATGCGGGACTCGATCCAGGGACTCCAGGATCATGACCTGAGCTGAAGGCAGTCGCTTAACCAACTGAGCCACCCGGGCGCCCTAGTTGCTTTTAATTATTAAATCATACAATAATATATGAATACATTCTTATATAAATTCAAATACTAAATCTAAAGCCAGAGTTCTTCACCGCCCTCCATCCTCCAGTTTCTCCTCAGAGGTAACCGCTATTCCATTCGGTGTATGTACACACATAAGAGATACAGCTAGGATTATTTTGCACGTGTATTTTTTTTTAAGATTTTATTTATTTATTTAAGAGAGAGACAGAGAGAGAAACAGCATGACAGGGGAGAGGGTCAGAGAGCGAAGGAGGCTCCCCGCTGAGCAGGGAGCCCGATGCGGGACTCGATCCCAGGACTCCGGGATCATGACCCGAGCCGAAGGCAGTCGCCTAACGACTGAGCCAGCCAGGCCCCCCTTACATGTGTGTTTCAAAACAAATATTATCCTATTGAAAGATCAGTTTGAAGGATAGAGCTTGGGTTTGGGCAATTCTGAGAACCAGCTGGCTATCTGTTTACTTTGCCTGATGTGCACAGAGTATTTTGTGGACATTCCAGCTTTTAAGTGAGGTTCTCACACAGGGATTGGTGCTGTGGGAACCATCTGGTAGACCCCGACCATGACAGCTGCAAACCCTCACAGCCATATCCGCCAGGTCGGCCTGCACCATTGCCTGCACTGGGTCAAAAGTTTGCTCCCTGCAGTTGTGCAATTACAGGACAGCTGGAATTCACAGAGATTAAATGTTCCTTGTTCACATTAGGGAATGGATAATGTGCCTGCCATGTGTTATAGGACAACTGAAGATCCAAACATGACCACGGGGTCCTTTTCTCGGGGAAAGAAAACCTTCATGACTTTGGGTTTGATCTTTTACATTGTAATAAAAGTTCACATGCAACAAAAAAATCTACGTAATGAAATCAACAGTCAAGTTAAAAATTACTACCAAACTAACAATATACATATTTAGGCATATCCATAGCTTAAATCTCATTAGGGCTGTTCCTAAAGCGAGGTCTGGAGGTGTGGGAAATAAGGAATCCACTGTTAGGTATACGTGTGGATAGATTTATTTATTCTCTCATTAATAATATACATTTAGTACCTACTATGAGCCAAATCATGTACTAAGACACTGGTTGATTACTCTGTTCCCTTTGCCCTAAATTAAAGTTCACAGCCCACCTGGGGAGACATAAATAATGAGTATCCATAATGGTCTTTACATACAACCAGTGATTTGGCAGTTACTCCATTCATCGAACTATTCCAAAGTTTTGAGGAAAGAGCCGCAGGTTAAAAATCTTCTGTAGAAACATGCCCTATCCACCGACCTGGTGCTTATAATAAAAGACCACTTCCTCTGACTGATTGAAAATTCTCAAAGAAGTGATGGGGTGGGGAGCAGGCGGCTAAACTGTAATTGTGCTCTCGGGGAATGTGTCTGGGATTTGCTGAAGTTCTAGACCGGGACCCAACGTTGGTGAGCAGGAAGGCAGAGGTCATGACTAAGGATGCAATTTACTCAGATTCTCCCCTGATCTTAATCCCATAAATAGTTGCCGGGGTAAGGGCATAAACCAAAGGCTTTACACAGGGTATAAGCTTTCCCTAAAACAGATCAGGGAGAGACACTTTCAACAGGACCTTGTTGCAGGATCACAAAAAGACTTCAAAGAAGATTTACATGTTATCCAACCTTACACATTCTTTCAACAAACTGCATTTCAGCAAACTGGGTAAACTCTGCCACATTTTGCTTAAGAAGAATGTTTATAAATATATTAATATTCTCTATTCCTTTAAGGGAAAGTGATGCAGGAGCTGGAGGCTTGGTGGGAGCTGTTCTCAGAAATCCCTCAGAATGTCAGCACAAGTCTGGAAAGTGCTGTGAGGGGTGTTACAGGGGAGGACTACAGAGGGCGTCTCTGGTTGTGCCAATAGGAAAAAAAATCTTGCCAAGCAAAGACAGTATACAAAGCGCTGTTCACCAAAGCCCCAAAGGGGTCCCCCAAAGCTTTACGTGGCGGAGAGAAAACGGTCCGCACCTGCTTCCTCCAGGAGGGCGCAAACTGAAGGCAGAGGCAGGTCCCAAGGAGTCGGGCGCCCCTGACTCGCATAATCTCTCCCTCGATGCCCGATCGAATAGGTGACCTAGAGCTGACCCAGAGGCAACTCGGACCTCTTCCCTGCGCCCGCCGCCACCTCCAAGGCGGGCGCCGATTCCCAACCCGCAGGACGTACTGAGAGCGCGGGCAGTCTCTCACCTTGGTCTCCATCTCGTCCTGTTGTCATGGTGACCGCCGGAGGCACGCAGCCCCGCCCCTTCCTCATAACGTGGCCCCGCCTCCTCCGAACCCGGAAGCGTGAGGCTCGCGCCCACTGCGCGGACCGTTCGGGAAGGGGGAGCGCGGCGGCCCAGGCTCGCCCGGCCGCGCGCCCCGCCCCTCGGAGGCCCGCCCTCTAGCTCGCCCCCACAGCCCGCTGCGCCTGCGGGTACTGAGAGCTCCGGCTGCCGGCGGTGACCCGGGCCCAGCCGCCTCCACGGCCCGCGCCCCTACTGGAGGGAAGAGCCGCCTTGGGGAGGAGGGAAAGGGACGTGGGGGAGGCCACGGCAGGTGAGGGGTGGGCGAGGCCCTGGGAAGCGGGGTGTGGGTGTGTGATGTGTACAGGCTTGCAGGTGGGTGTGTATGTAGTGTGCGCAGCTGCCTCCGGCGGTGTGACTTGATTAGTGTGGCCCCTAGTGGGCTGGTCCATGTGACCATGCACGTGATCGCACGTCCCTGTGTGTGTGCGTGCGTGCGTGTCTGTCTGTCTGTCTGTCTGTCTGAGGTCGAGTTTGAGTTCACGGGGTGGTCGGTGTACCTGTGACCCTGCCTTTTTGAGGCTTTCACGGTGGGACTGGGAGAGGGTGGGGTCTGTGTTTGGATCATCTGGGGTGGGGGCGGGGGCGCTGGACCAGAGCGTACTGCTGTAATCTGGTCCTGGGGATACACTGCTGCAGCCCAGGAATATGTTTTTCAACTTTTAAGAACTCTGAGCAGAAAGAAGCTAGTTATTTTGGAGATTGCATCTCAGCCTGAAAGTGACAAAAGACTTTGTCATTGCCAGGTATGAGCTTTGTGAATGAGGGATGAGGAAAGTAGCAGGACTACAGTGTTTTCCTTTTCCCCTTCTGGCTTTCCTGGGGAGTTACAAATTCTGCATTTATGTTGCTGCTTTGTCTCCTCGTACAATGTTCCAGCTCCTGTTAGCAGAAAGACTGAAGAGACTAAGGAGTAACTTAATAGCTGTGTGCAAATTTCCAAGAGCTTTTATCCCAAGACAGCACAAGATGAGGTGTCACAGAAGAAATGTCAAGTAGGCAGCTTTTCCTCCCATGAGGTTTAGACAATAACGGAATAAGTTCCTGAAGAAAAGAGGGATAAATCTTTCCCTGAAGAGATCTGAAAAAAGGATAGCTGTCTACTGGTGTGGTGAGTTATGGAGACTTGCATTTAAAAAGCCATTTGCATTGCCCAGAAACTCAGATTCTAATAGTTACTTATTGCTGGTATTAATAATCCCAGATTGTCCATATGTGGATCAACTACAGATTGAGGTAAAGGATCCAAAATCTCTGACTAGTTAAGCTCGTTATGTGACTTAAACATTTTTAAAGACGATTTCGTTGATTGTAAACTGGCAGGTTCTGTCAAAACCCTGAAGGAAAAGTGCATGTAATTCTTGGTGCACGCTCACAATTGGCAATTTTATTGTCTAGCACCTCAAGGGCCAGAGAGGACTGGATGTCGAAAGCACTCACTGAGGAGGGGTTTCTTTAGGCAAGATTAAGGCTGATCTCTGCAGCCCTTTTCCCACCAGCTCACGATGAACAGGTGCTTTTGTTTTTGTGAAGAATTGGATTGTGAGAGATCAAATCAGTGTTGAGCTCATGATTCGCATTCTTTCTTATTTAATACTGACCAGTTTGGTCACAATCTCGGTTAACCTTTTTTTTTTTTTTTTTTTGCCCCCTACAGAATGTTCCTCTTGTGACTTGGAAAAGTATACCCCTTTAGTGAATGAAAGAGAGCTAGGAGAACAAAATTCCTTTTCATACCACTCACAGCTGCTTTCCTTTTGCAGCAGTGAGCCTTTTTTTTTTTTTTTTCAACTTAGACGTCAATTGGTCAGATGCAACATTTGGTATCTATCTTAACCTTTCATGTGCTGCCAGACTAGCACAAGTGTTAAAATCACTTGCCCCTACAAAAATTTAGTCACAGTTGGGTGGAATCTTTCCATCCAGTGAGATTAGTTATAAAATGTTATAATACTGCGTTGGTTGTGAATAATACCGAGGACTGGTAAGGAACATCTTTCTACTTATTGCTGTGGGAAGAAGGATGACAGTGAATGTGTGTGCCTGTGTATGATCTGTATCTGTATGATCGGTATGTGATCTGTATGGTAGTTTGGTTTGTACATTGCAGCCGATTCCAAAACTGAATGATTTATCCCAAGTTTGGCAAATCTAGAAGATAACTGTCTGGCTTTAAGGAGCTTAAGTATTTTATAAACCTACTGAGTAGATTCAAATGGCTTAGATTTTTTTAACATGTTAATATTTGTTAAGAGAAAATGGATATGCAGAGAATGATTTTCTTTATTCCAGTATGAATTATAACTACGTCTGTGCACTGATTTCAGCATAAGACTGGCTAATGATATTCTTGGTACTCTTTAGAACAACTTATGATTTTAACAAACTTTTCTAAAATTACCATCCTAGCCTTGAGAACAGACCATTATTATAATGTCAAGGTTGTAAATCAAGTTTAATAATGGATGTCTACATTTACCATCTCCTTGGGGTTTAGTTTAGTAACCCCCCAAGGTTAGAGGTAACTGTTAAGACTGTTGAGTTCCCTGTACTTCTAAGACAGCAGATGTGGGGAGCCAAAAGGGAAGAGTTTCATTGGGTTTAGAGTCCCCAGCTCCTGGCCAGTCCAGAGAAGCCCTTCCCCCCCCCCCCCCCCGCAAAATGACAATTCAGGGTCAGCCCAGGAGTTAAGTCTTATGGTCTTGAACACATCCCACACCAAGTTAGGAAATCCAGACTTGCCCTGGGGGTAGAGGACAGGATGAACAGCAAGTATTTGAATCCTTCCAAACCAGTGGGTGGAAGTTCCTCATTTGGCAATAAGAATCTGCAACAGGGAGCTATAATTTCAGGTTCCTATTATGACATAACACAGATGCCTGAGCAAAGAAGGGCAGCCTTTCAATCGGAGATGCCCAGCCAGTCCAAAGCTCTTAGAGGGCTGGGTCAGAAGGGACTCTAGGATTGCCTGATCCGGTCTTCTTAGGACATAGTCATCCATTTTGTCAATGGATAATGCCTGCTCTGTGCCAAGCACTGTTCTAGGCTTTGGAGATACAGTGGTGAAACAGTCATAGATGAGCAAACAAGCCCAAAGAGGGTCAGTGACTTTTCCAAGGTCACAGAACTATAAAAGCTAGAAGTCACTAACCTCACAACAAAAGACCACATATTTTTTCTAAAGACACATGTTTTCTTGCTATAGTGCCTTCAAACCTATTCTGGTATTTTATCATAGATCTTTCAGAGGAGGTTATATGACTTAATCACACCAAGGTGAACAGCAAATTTTCCTGTATTTTGCATTAAAAACAAATGTGAAGTTCTGAAGTTATGTTCCACTAGAGTTAGATTTATGGCATTTTGTGAAGTGATCAGGAGGCAGGCTTACATTACCTCCTTCCTCGAGTGTGGACTGTTCCCTATAATTCTGTATCTTTGTTAAAATAGATTCCTAAGATATTGTCAACACGTAGGTATTCCTAAGATACTGTCAACAGAGTTTGCAATCATTTAACTAGGACAGGCGGTCTGACACCAGAAGAGACTCCCCTGCCTCTGGTCCTAGCTCTGCAATAGCCATGAGATCTCTGGTAAGTCATTTACATTTTCTAGACTGGATTCTTCATCTGGAGGAGCTAAGGGAGTTGGAGTCGTCATCTCTCAGGGCCCCTTCCTGCTCTAGGACTATAGGATTTAGCAACAGTTTTGTGTAGCTTCAGTAAATACTGAGAGGTAAAATAGTCCGTTTCCTTGGTTTTACCGTTTAAAGTATTGTTGGTATAGCTAGACCAGACCCTACGTTTAGTTCTGATGTAAACATGAATTCTTGACATGAAACATCACATGCTTTTATTTCAGGGTTAACCTCCATTTCAGCTAATCATGGGAGAGATTAAAGTCTCTCCTGATTATAACTGGTTTAGAAGTACAGTTCCCCTTAAAAAGGTATGTATGGTTTTACTACACCTCTTATTTGCAAAATCTTGTGTTGTTTTTGTTTGTGACTGAGATGTTATGCCTTAGTAGTGTTTGAGAGTAAAGGTTATTGCCAAGTATCGTGACTGTGGGTTGCAGAGCATAAAGTTCACCTCTTCTTTGTCAAGTACAGTCAACTTTTGAGACTCATTCAAGAGTAAAAGTGGGTATAACTATACTCATTATTTTATAATTGCTTTTCTGTATGCAAGCAAGCGGGAATATGTGTACTCTGTTTAGTGGAAAGCTTGCAGTAACGGCAACTACATAGTAAAGTGCAGTCAGATTCTGTTATAAAGCCTTTTCCTGTTCCTCGAATTTAAGATTTGCATTGGGTCACATTATAGGTCCCCTGTTTGCAATGGTAGTCATCTTCAGGAAACCTTATTTGCCTGGGATGTCCAAAACCCTAAGCACTTATATTGAAGTTTGACTGTTGACTCTGAGTCCCTAATTAATCACAAATGTTTGGGGATCACACTAGACAAAAGCTAGTTAAGCCACAGAGCAAAATCTTTGCTGATCCTTTTGCAGAAGTATGAGAGTACTATGATCTGAAAATCTTCTGTGTCTCTGTTATTACCATTTTGTCAGGGTAGACATCTGTGGAAGTACCATGCAGGTTCAAATTAATAACAGAACTACTCTCCATATAGAATTTGAGATACAGTTCTCCAAGTATAAACAGAATATCTGCTATGTAACTGGCAGTGTTGTAGGATGTCCCCAGATACCTTATTTAATTCTTCCAACGGATTAATAAAGTGGGTAGTGATGCCCATTTCACAAATGAGAAAACCGAGGTCCAGAGAGGTTAACATGTTAAAGGTCACACAGCCTGGTAGGATCTGGATTATAATCAAATTAATCTGGCTTCAAAACCAGAAGTACTTGACTGCTTACCAAAAGGAGCCTCCCTTCCTTCTTGTTTCCTGGGAAACAGTGCCCATGCTACAAGATAATTGGCTCCTGAGGTCCCTCTACCTTGTCCCATCCCCTCAAGTAACTCATGTGAGCTCTTCTTGACGGACTCATTTTCTCAGCAAGCTGATCACCAGACCCAAAACAACCCAAACTTACTGAAATATTCTTAGAAGTAGTTACAGCAAATAGTTTCATTGATGTAACTTTCTCCAGCTGTCAGGTCTGGTGCCCGAGTCATGATAAGTTTGCTTGAAATTTTGTGGTGCTAGATTTTAAATTATCAAAGAGATACTGTGTTTTCAAAATTATCAAATAGAATTTTGACATTTGCCATTCAGAGAACTCTGAGGACATTGAAGTGATAAACTTATTCCAAATGGCTTATTGAAATAATTTCCTAGAAAATTTGAGAGATCTGAATATCTTATCTCATATGAGTGTTATTACTACAAGATTGGGATTTACTGTACTGTCAAAAGCCATTAAGAGATTTTTACCACAATCATAGCAAAAACAAACCAAAAAAACCCAAAAAACAATGAAAAGCAAAATTGTGAGTGGCAAAATACAAAGGGCAAGAACGTGAGTATGAGATATTATTGTCATCATCCATTACCTTGGGAAGTCCAAAAGGGAATTGTTAGGGTCCTCTGGACTTTACCTTGCCCCATTTGTCTGCTCGCAGTGATGCCCATGATCCCACTGTGTTGCCATCCCCAATGACACCATGGGCCCACAGCACTGCCAGCTAGAGCTCTCAGAAAATAGAACCCGAAGGCCTTGAATTTTGTAACGTAAAAATAGGATAAATATTGATTTGCATTGGCAAAAGTTCAGGAAGTTAATGTACTTTTTCAAATCCCACCAAAAAGTCAGGCAAAGAAAACAAAAAGTAAACGATCATGCAGTGAATAATACTAATATCCAACACTCACTGAACACAAAATATCTGCCAAACTCAGCGCTGAGCACTTGACTTGTCTCAGCTCATTTAATGCTCTTTTTTTTTTTTTTTCCCCTGTTGGGTTAAGAACCACTAATTCAGGAAGGTTTCTGAGGACCTTCCTGCTCCCTACTCTCTTTTCCCAAGAAATCCAGTTTTTCCCTGTGCCCACCTCCCGCCCCTGACTGGTTTGAAACATCCTTTCAGGACAGGGACACTACAGCTGCAGTGTCCTTCCTCTCTAGCAAAAGTCTGCCCCTTAGAGGCGTGGTCTGGATCAGTTTCCAGAAGCATCTCCTGAGTGGTACCGTCTCTCCCTCGTTTGTCCGAGAGCCTGGAGTCTTTCCCCTCTGGACAGCACTGGAGAATGACTCTGCAGATGGCCTCCTCCACACACACAGCCAGAAGTATGGGGAAGAAATAAGATGCCATATGCAGAGTTTATTCTTTAATGGTAAACAAAATAGGCTTCATAGAATCATGGATGGAAAAGAAAATTAAAACCTGATTTAAAAAAAAAAAAACAGCTCTTTGGAAGAGTATGAAGCAATTCTGTGTAATATGTTAGCACTGAAGAGGGAAAAAGAGACCAAAGCAGTTTATTATACATGCTAGTCTGGTGTGATCCCCAGTGTACCTTGTAACACAACCAAGGCAGTGGCATTAAAATTGTCAGAGAAATTATAGTGTAAAGTAACAATATAAAACCAAATCCATAAGGTTTTCCATTTTTTTTCTTACAACTTTCCCTCCAGATTATCGTGGATGATGATGATAGTAAAATATGGTCGCTGTATGATGCAGGCCCCAGAAATATCAGGTGTCCTCTGATATTTCTTCCCCCTGTCAGTGGAACTGCAGATGTATTTTTCCGGCAGATTTTGGCTTTGACTGGATGGGGTTACCGGGTTATAGCTGTAAGTATTATTGATTCAGTATTATAGTTTGAGTCCACATTTCGTGGGGGTTTTTGTATGTGTGTGCTTCTGTTTCTAATTAAGTATAGTAATGGGCATTTTTTTTTTAATTGAAGGAAGATACTGTTTTCCTTTTTTTAAATGTGAAATGAAACCTTTTAAAGGAGGGCGGCACAGTACACGGACATACAGAGAAGCAGAGGGGACAGACCTCTGTGGAAACCTCTGTGCCCTGCTTTTATGTACATTCTATTTAAGTCTGAATAGTAGGAAGCATTGGCCTTGTTTATAGATAAGGAAATGGAGGTCCAGGCCATTTGGGGGATCGTGGCGGGTCATGGCCATGAGGTGGTGGACGGAGAACAGGCCTGAGTCTTCTGACTCCATTTCCCTTCCTAGTTCATTACTCCAATGCCTCCAGGGGAGCTGAACGTGCACTATTACACAGCAAAGGGGTCTGCTAACACTCAGGTGACTGAAAGCTTGCTTTAATGTAAGTCTTCAACAGTTGAAATGAGGTTTATTAATTATAATGCCCATACCCTCAGCATTTGGTTAAGAAGTTTTTGTTTCTAATTGTTATTTTATTACTGAGTTTGGACTACATCTAGTTTCCCGTTGATCATTCTCAAGTCTCTTCTGGGAGAACAGTGTAGGCGAGGAACGCGCTGTTGTGACTAGTTTTGTGGCATACTCCGACTGTGTAACAGTGGAGGCTGGTCTCCTAACTTCCCAGGAAGGAGAGACTCTTTGGCTTTGAGCTGGCAGTTGTTTCTGGAAGCTGGAATAGTAACACCTAAACAGGTCTCCCTGTGGGAGTATTACTGTGTTACTATTTATTTACTGTCTGAAGGAGAGAAAAGTCAGACCAGATCTCTTGGAAGGTAACTGAGAATTCTACTGGGTTTACCATCAACTAGGGCCACACAAAACAAATCCCAGTTCTTCCTCCTGACAGCCCTTTGGAGAAAACTAGTTATGATCAGCACCGCCTGCTGCCTTCCCCCGAGGTCTTTTCTTCTCTGGCAAAATTCTCCACATTCTTTAATCATTCCTCATATGGTGTGTTTTGAATCTCTGCAACATAATCCTGCCTTGTTCTGGGTTTTTATAAATTCCTCTTGATGGACAGCATTTCAGGAGAGCATGATGGCAACTACACTCATCCCAGTCCTCTGCAGCCTAGGACGTGAGAGTACCTTTCCTGGTGGCCACTATTAATCAGCCAGGGACGGGGAGACTGAGTGGCTACAGGCGTCTCTCCCACTTTAGAGCACTGTCTGAAGTTGACTGTGTTTATTGCTCCAAACTGGCAGGTCATGATGGCTTTGCCTTCTGGATGGAAAATTCTTCTTGCCCTCAGGCTTCTTGATGTGGGATTTCCTTATTTCATTAGCTAGATAATGAATAAAGAAAAGGCCAGGTGTGCCTGGCTGGCTTAGTTGGTGGAGCATGTGACTCTTGATCTCGGGGTTGTGGGTTGAGCCCCATGTTGGATGTAGAGATTACTTAAAAATAAAATCTTTTAAAAATGAAGGGTGCCTGGGTGGCTCAGATGGTTAAGCATCTGCCTTCAGCTCAGGTTTTAGTCCCAGGATCAAGCCCCGTGTCCGCCTCCCAGCTCAGCGGGGAGTCTGCTTCTCCCTCCCCCTCTCCCTCTTCTCCTACTTGTGCTCTCTCTCTTTCTCAAATAAATAAATAAATAAATAATCTTAAAAAAATTTTAAAAAAATAAAATAGAAAAGGCCAATAGCGTCTTCAAAGTTATTTTGTCCTTATGCGCCTAACTCCATGAAATTTTAAAACTTAATAGATACTCGTTAGTATCTCACAGTTAAAAGGCATAGGCCCTTTTCTCATTTAAGTTTTTATTGAGATAACTATAGATTCACATGCAGTTGTCAAAAATTAATACAGAGATATCCCTTTTATTCTTTGCCCAGTTTCTCCCAATGGTAACATTTTACAAAACTATAGTAGGATATCATAACCGGGGTATTCATATTAATACAATCCACTGATCTTATTCAGATTTCCAGTTTTACTTGTACTCAGTTGTATATGTATGTGTGTGTCTGTGTGTTAAGTGGTATACAACTTTATCACCTATCTAGGGCATAGATATCTTTAAATTAAAGGCTTCATAAAAGTATCTTCTTGGGGCACCTGGGTGGCTCAGTCGTTAAGCACCTGACTTTGGCTCAGGTCATGATCTCTGAGTCCTGGGATCGAGCCCCATATGGGCCTCCATGCTCCTCATTGACTGGGGAGTCTGCTTCTCCCTCTCCCTCTGCATGCTTCGCCCCCTGCTTGTGCTCTCTCTCTGTCAAATAAATAAATTTTAAAAAATATCTTAAATAAAAAATAAATTAAAAATAAAATTTAAAAATATAGCATCTTCTTTCTTTTCTATCATCTGACTCAAATTCTCAAATTTTCTGTTAGGGAGAGGCTGTTCTCCATCCTGTCAGAATAGTGGAATCTTATCCACAAATGAAATTTTTAATATTAAAACTAACATAATTACTTCAAATCTAAAATTACGCTGTTATATACATGGCAGTATCTATTCCAGTGATTTGTGAATGACAAAGTGAATCTAAGTGCTTAAAACAAGCAGCCTGTCAGGCAGCTTTTACTTATTATTAAAGAGCGGGGAATTCTTAGGTGACAAGCTAGAATCCCCTCAAAAGGAGTTAGTGACTTGCATTTCTTTTCCTCCTCATCAGCATGCATAGGCTACTTAGGGTCAAGCACCATACTTTTTTGGTCACAAATAAAAGTACAAGAAATCAGATAGAATGACTACTAAGTCAATTTAAAAAGAGGAACAATTTTATTGAACACTCCCTTCAAGTCATGCTGCCAAAAAGAGAGGGAATTCTCCCTAGACAGAATTTTACTTAGAGCCATAATTTATAATTAAGTTGGATTTAAGGGCAAACAGTATTTCTTTACTTGGAAGGGTTCGGCCCTATTCATCCATGAACCTCAGAGTTTCTTAGCTATTTGGAAAGGAAATAGATGTGAATTGAAATTGTTATTCACATAATATCACTAGTGTGCTCTTCTTTTTTTAAATTGGTCTGTTAGGTAAAATGTGAATTTTAAAGTTTAGAAGAAGGTGAGAGCTTATTTTCACATAGTTTGAATAAGGAGCAGAGCTTGAGCAAATGAGAATTGCCATTATGGGAGTCCTAAATTTTTCACATATATATTGTTATTAATTAATGATTGTTATTGCTTCAGTTGCAGTATCCAGTTTATTGGGACCATCTCGAATTCTGTGACGGATTCAGGAAACTTTTAGACCATTTACAACTGGATAAAGTGAGTCTCCTAAAACTAATTATTTAAATGTGATTTTAAGGCAACATTTACGTTGTAAAGGCTGGTGTTGTCTTTTGTTTTTTTAAAAGATAGTTCTTTTGAGATATAATTCACATACCATACAATTTACCCTTTTAAAGTGTGTGAGTATGGTTTTTAATATATTTACAGGTAGGTGCAACCATCACCACAGTCAACTTTAGGACATTTTTTTTTTCACCCCAAAAAGAAACCCCGTGTTCGTTAGCAGTCACTCCTCACCCTTCCTCCCACTGGCTCTACTTTCTGCCTGTGTAAATGTACCCTTTCTGGGTATTTTATATAAATGGAGTCATGCAATATTCATCTTTTCTAACTGACTAATTTAGTGTAATGTTTGCATGGATCATCCAAGTAGTAGCCTGTATCAGTTCTTCGTATTCCTCTTTATGGTCGGATAATATCCCCATTGTATAGGTGTACCACATTTTATTTAGCCATTTGTCAGTTGATGCACGTTTGGATTGTTGCCATTGTTTGGCTATTAGAAATAACACTGCTCTGAACATTCGTGTACAAGTTTTTGTGTGGACATATGTTTTTGGTTCTCTTGAGTATGTACCTAGGAGTAGAATTACCAAATCATAGTTTTCTTAAACATAAATTAGGGGGCACCTGGGTGGCTCAGTCGGTTAAGCATCTGCCTTCGGCTCAGGTCATGATCCCGGGGTCCTGGGATCAAGTCCCATATCGGCTCCCTGTTCAGCAGGGAGCCTGCTTCTCCCTGTCCCTCAGCCTGCCATTCCCCCTGTTTGTGCTTGCTCGCTCTCTCTCTCTCTCTCTGTCAAATAAATAAATAAAATCTTAAAAAAAAAAATTCTTTTAAAAAAAAACAAATTATTAAGTGGTTTCATTTTCTAGTGCAATCTGTAGTTAAAATTTTTTTTTAAAGATTTTATTTATTTATTTGACAGAGCAAGAGAGAGGGAACACAAGCAGGGGGAGTGGGAGAGGGAGAGGCAGACTCCGCGCTGAGCAGGGAGCCTGATGTAGGGCTCGATCCCAGGACCCTGGGATCATGACCTGAGTCGAAGGCAGACGCTTAATGACTGAGCCACCCAGGTGCCCTGATAATTTTTTTTTTTTAAACTTGTATTTGTATACAAATTGTTTTCTTGACGGGATGCATATAAATTGTGTTTAATTACAATATTTCCTATATGTTGAACTGCTATAGATATTTCGTCTAATGACTAGTGATGACATTATATTCTGTGGTTGGTGATAACTAAAACAACTTTTTTGGGGGTATTTATGTTCAGGATTGATTATTTTAGTATCCTTCTTGTGCTTGTTTGCAATTAGGTTCATCTTTTTGGGGCTTCTTTGGGAGGCTTTTTGGCTCAGAAATTTGCTGAGTATACACACAAATCTCCCAGAGTCCATTCCCTCATCCTCTGCAATTCCTTCAGTGACACCTCTATCTTCAACCAAACTTGGACTGCAAACAGGTAAGAACGTAAACGTTTGGCCAAAATGATGATTTTTGCTCCGTGCAATTTTTTAAAAGTTGACCCTGGGGTTTTTTTTTTGTTGCACTAAGGAGCAGGGCGTAGGGGTTATATCTGCTTCTAACTTCTGAAACTACCCTGGCTTTTAAAATTAGAAACAATCAGGGTGCCTGGGTGGCTCAGGTGGTTAAGCGTCTGCCTTCGGCTCAGGTCATGATCCTGGGGTCCTAGGATCGAGTCCCTCATTGGGCTCCCTGCTCAGCGGGAAGCCTGCTTCTCCCTCTGCCTCTGCCTCTTTTCTCTGTCTCTCATGAATACATAAATAAAATCTTAAAAAAAAAAAAAAAGAAACAATCAGAGGCACCTGGATGGTGTGGGTGGTGCAGTCGGTTGAGCTTCCAGCTCTTGGTTTGTTTGTTTTTTTATTTTATTTTATTTATTTATTTGACAGAGAGACACAGCGAGAGAGGGAACACAAGCAGGGGGAGTGGGAGAGGGAGAAGCAGGCCTCCCGTCGAGCAGGGAGCCCGATGCGGGGCTCGATCCCAGGACCCTGGGATCATGACCTGAGCTGAAGGCAGACGCTTAATGACTGAGCCACCCAGCTGTCCCCCAACTGTTGATTTTGGCTTAGGTCATGATCCCAGGATTGTGAGATCAAGCCCTGCTTCTGGCTCTATGCTCAGCGTGGTGTCTGCTTGAGATTCTTTCTCCCTCTGCCTCTCTCACTTGTTCTCTCTCTCTCTCTCTCTCAAATAAATAGATAAATCTTTATAAATAAAATTAGAAACAGTCACCTTTGCAAAAGAAAAGAATGGAATGAACTCTGAATTCAGCTATTTCTATTACTGTATATTGTTTAGCTTTGTTTAAGGTACAGGCATGTGCTCTTATAGTTTCTCTTCAGTGCCTGTATAACTAATGTAGAGTTCTGCTTGTTCCACTTATTATTTTGTGTAAACAGTGCTATTGATTGTCACAGTTTCTTTGGGCATTTGGCTTCCCCCAAGTTTTCATCAGGTTCTACTATAAATCTTTGTACAAATTACTTTTTTTCCTTCCCTTTCTGGGTTATTTCCTTGAGATGTGTCTCCAAAAATAGAGGGAATAGAACATTTAGTCTCTCAGCAGACGTTTTGCACATCATGACACGTTAACAGTAGTCAGCTTTCAGAATGATGGAAATGGTGGAACGCTTTGTGGGGCAGCCAGTGGGGTGCTTATTTCCTTTGAGCCATCCTGTCATTGAAGGTACCATTTTAAGTAGTTCGATCAGTATCTAATAGTACCTTAAAGCTGACTTAATGTGGTTTCTTTCATTGCTAGCAAGGCTAGGCTCTACCCTAAAAAAAAAGCCCAGTGAGTAAACATACCTGTATGTTAGATTTTCACGGAATGCTATAAGTAAGCATTGTTTTCATGGTTTTCACATCGCTTTAAAATTGTAGGGGCACTTGGCTGGCTCATTTGGTAAACCGTGCGACTCTTGATTTCTGGGTCATGAGTTTTGAGCCCTGCATTGGGTGTATAGCTTACTTAAAAAAAAAAAATTGTACTCTGTTCTTTTTAAACGCTTCTCCTGATGTTACCTCAGTAGTTTGCTGAGCAGTTGTGCGACAATACATTAGCTACAAATAGTTCATGTTCAGACAAGGCACTAAAGCTCATTGATTATTTTTGATGATTTTAATGTTGTTTTAATTGTCAGAAGCCAAGACTGCCCCTACTTTGTGCTCCTGCATGTGAGCTACACTTTCTCAGGTATCTGAGTGCTTGCTACATGCCACACATTGAGGCTACAGGGGCAGGCAAAGCCAACAGGGTCTGCCTGTTGGCTACAGAGGGTACCTAGGCAGCAACGCCTTGAGAAGATAGGGAAGCCGTATGGGGCGGGATGGAGAAAAGTAATGAAATGTGACCAGCTGTCCTTGTGAGGGAAGCTCAACTTCCAACAAGCATTCCGTGGAGAACACGCATCACAGAAGGTAGTCTGCTCCTTTTATAAGTCATTTTCAGCATAGGTTTAGAAAAAGTTTTTACCCTACATAATGTCTCTCGATATTTGTAATTAATGGACTAAATACCAACTAAAAATCACATATAGAAATTCATAGATTGAATTGCTTTGAATTAGCCCAGTTGAATCTACTAGTAGCAGACTTTGGGAGGTACGATAATTCTTTCATTTTGCTATTTTGAAGTATCAGTCATTCAAAGGTGATATAAACCTGAAGGTTGACAACGGTCTTAAGTTTTCAGTTTTCTTTCTTTCTTTTTTTTTTTTTTAAGATTTATTTACTTATTTTAGAGGGTGGGGAGAGGGAGAATCTCCAGCAGACTCCCTGCTGAGCACAGAGCCCAAGGCGGGACTGGATCCCACAACCCTGAGATCGTGGCCTGAGCCAAAATCAAGAGCCAGCCACTTAGCTGACTGAGCCACACAGGTGCCCCAAGTTTTCAGTTTTCTAAAGGAAATAGTTTAGTCATTGGAAATAAGGCCAATTAGGTAAAAAAAAAAAAAGTCTTAGAATTATCAAAATGTCTACCTTGGTAAAGATATTTGAAATACTGCTTTATAATTATTCTAAATTCTCAAAACTTTAATCATATAAAACCATAACTCTTTGGGAGCTCGGGAAAATATATATAAAAACAAGATGCTTCAAGAACAGCTTTTTGAAAGAAGAGACTAGGTCTTTTTATCTTTAGATCCTAAGTACCAGCTAATACAAAGCTTAAGTATCGAATGAATATTGGCTATTTTTGTGTAGTCTTAACAGATTTAAATGATCAGGTGTTTGTTTTACAGCTTTTGGCTGATGCCATCATTTATGCTCAAAAAAATTGTTCTCGGAAACTTTTCATCTGGCCCAGTGGACCCTATGATGGCTGATGCTATTGATTTTATGGTGGACAGGGTAAGGATCATGGCATTGGAATGGGGACACCTTGTAGTAGGAATTTTCATGTCTCCTTGGTTCCTGATGATATATCTGTCTCATTGAGTATGTATTAGAGATGTTTGTTAAGATGTTTCCATACTTACTTTAATATGCCCAACAGATGTTACTGCTGGTAAGTAATTGATCAGAATCACTTGAGGGGAGCTTTTAAAAATACAGATTCCAGGAACACCTGGCTGGCTCAGCTGGTAGAACGTATGACTCTTAATCTCGGGGTCATGAGTTCAAGCCCCACGTTGGGAGCAGAGCCTACTTTAAAAAAATACAGATTCCAAGGCCTCACCAGCTCATTGAACTGGAATCCCTGGGCATTGGGTATGGGAATTTGTATTTTTACTCTACAGATTTCCCCATCCTTCTCCCCGAGGGGAGTCAGGGGCTATGGGACTAGGTGATTTTTTTTTTGAGGTCTCTTTCAGCTCCAAAATCTCTTAAAATGTTATCTGTCACTGTGGGGCTTTGGGAAGTGGCTTGCTGCCCACAGGCACCTGGTTGAAGAGGCAGTTCAGGGTGAGGGCTATTGAATGCCCTAGAATAGAACAACGCCACCAGCTGGGAGGCCCAGTGCTGGGCTCTCAGATACATTGTATTTCCTCACTGGTGATCTGGCCCACCACACATGCCACCTTTATAAGTGCAGATATTATCTGTGGATTTAATATAAATGTGAGGCACAAAATGAATTCATAAACTTGTGTTTCTTCCTGCAGCTGGAAAGTTTGGGTCAGAGTGAACTGGCTTCAAGACTTACCCTGAATTGTCAAAATTCTTACGTGGAACCTCATAAGATTCGGGACATCCCTGTGACCATTATGGATGTAAGCTTCCTTCTAAGTAAAATAGATGCGTTACCTTTTTAAATGTATATTTCAAGAGCTTCCTCATAATTATTATATAATTTTTCAGTGCGCCTCTTCAAATGCTGCCTTGGATTTTTTTTTTTTTTTTTTTGACAACTGCCCCCACCCCCAGCTTTTTCAGTTCTAAAACAATCAGTTTATTGCTTGTCCCATATTTTCCCTGGTAGGAATAACACCATTGAAATCAGAATAAACATAAACAAACATGGTAGTCCTTATCCATTTTGATGTATTTTTGCTATTGTCATCACCAGAGATTGCACTTTAGCTATTACACATCTGTGCAGCAAAGAAAAGTTGCCTCACGGGGCGCAGAGAATCAAGAATTCCATAAAGTCTAATTAGCACAGAAGCTTGCTGCTTATATTTTTGAGTTGTGGTAAAATATACATAATGAAATTTACCATTTTAACCATATTTCACTGTACAGTTCAGTGGCATGAAGTACATTTACAATGTTGTGAAACTGTCACCACCATCCATTTCCAGAACTTTCCATCATCCCAACCTGAAACTCTGTACCCATTAAACACTAGCTTGCCAGTCCCTCCTCCTCCCAGACTGTGGTGACCAACATTATACTTTCTGTCTCCATGTATTTGACTATTCTATGCACCTCATGTCAGTGGAATCCCATAATATTTGTACTTCTGTGTCTGGCTTATTTCACTTAGCAGAATGTCTTCAAAGTTTATTCATGTTGTAGCATGTATTAAAGGCTGACTGATACTCTGTTATAGTGCATACCACATTTTATTTATCCAGTCAGCTGTTGATGGGCATTTGGGTTATTCTACCTTTTGGCTATTATGAATCATTCTGCTCTGAGTATTGGTATACAAATACCTGTTTGAGTACCTACTTTCACTTCTTTTGGGTCCATACCTAGAAGTGAAATTGCCGAGCCATATGGTGATTCTGTGTTTGACTTTTTGCGGGACCAGATAGCATCTTCCACAGCGGCTGTACCATTCTACATTCCCACCAGCACCAGTGCCCGAGGGTTCCAGTCATTCCGTATCCTCCCCAACACTGTTATTTCCTGTTTGTTGACAGTGGCCATTCTAATGGATGCCCAGTGGTATTTCATTGTGGTTTTGGCTTATTTTTTTAAATCATATAATTATTTTGCCTCATAAACGGATGTATTGCTAAAATCAACATATTTCTAAGAATTGATTTTTGTCAGGAAATTATCCATTACAGGCACGTAAATAATAACTTCTCATTCTTCACTGTAATCTCTACATTTCGACACTTACCATGACACAGAACGAGCTTTTCAATGCTCCTGGTAAAATATTTGGTCCTCACGGTGCATTTGCACTGCTTGCCCATCTTTCAAAGCTGAGCTCACCACTTGGGTACATGGTCACTGAAAACTGTGTATAAGCTTTAGCACTTTGGAGATGCTTTTTGTGTGTGTGTGCTTCATTTTAAAAATTACTTTTTGTAAACTTGTTTGTGTGCAAACATAAGTTTATGTGGGCATTAAAAGATGTCTAGAATTATATGGGGCACCTGGGTGGCTCAGTCATTAAGCGGCTGCCTTCGGCTCAGGTCATGATCCCAGAGTCCTGGGATCAAGCCCCACATCGGGCTCCCTGCCCAGCGGGAAGCCTGCTTCTCCCTCTCCCACTCCCCCTGCTTGTGTTCCCTCTCTCGCTGTGTCTCTCTCTGTCAAATAAATAAACAAAATCTTTAAAAAAAAAAAAAAAAGTCTAGAATTATATATTCTAAACTGCTAACAGTGGCTCCCCCAGGAAAGGATCTGGACTTTTTCTTATACTCTTGAAAATTTTTTTTGGATTTTTTTTTTTTCACTGAGCATATACTACTTATGTAACTTTTTAAGTAATAATAAAATGTAAAAGTTCTTTTGGGATTTCAGTGATTTTTTTTAAATTAATTGGCATTCATTATTAATATTCTTTTAATTTAGTTAGCTATGTTTGAGGAGAAAAAAATTCATGATAGACTTTTTCCCCCAGTGAATAAAAGAGACATTTGACAACAAAATCCGTAGCTTATGTTGGAGTTAGAGTCACCAGGATGAGCAGGAGATGGCCCAGGCTGGCCAGGGGCTCAGCGGTGTCTCTTCACAAGCAAGAAATGCTTTGGGAGGCACTTTCCACAATGTGCAAAGAACAGATTAAAATACTGGTAGGCTTCAGCTTTGTGTTTTTTTTTTAAAGGTATTTGACCAGAGTGCACTTTCAACTGAAGCTAAAGAAGAAATGTACAAACTGTATCCTAATGCCCGGAGGGCTCACCTTAAAACAGGAGGCAATTTCCCATACCTATGCAGAAGTGCAGAGGTGAATCTTTATGTACAGGTAAGTCCCAGCTTGGAAGCCAGAGCTCTTTGAACCCAAAGTGTACAGTTTGAAACATAAAGCTTCTTTTTTTTTTTTTTTGATGGTGGAATAAGAGAACTACAGAATTCTCTGTAGGAATGAGGCATTCACTTGAAAAAGATGGTTTACGTTAATAATTTATAGCAGAATTCAAGTGGGTATATTAGAGACAGTCAAGTGACTCTCTGCCTACCATCTCTTTTCTAAGAACAGCAGGCCCGCATCCAAACATACTGAAGTAGCTACGTCCTGTGATGTGACCTTGCCTCCTGGGTACAGTGAATTCAGTCAGAGCAGGACACCTTCATGAAGCAACTTCCTGATCCATTTTTAATGCATTAAAAAACGCACACAGGGGCGGGCACCTGGCTGGCTCGGTCAGAAGAGCATGCAACTCCCGATCTCGGGGTTGTGCGTTCGAGCCCATGTCGGGTATAGAGATTACTTAAATAAATAAAACTTAAAAAAACAAATCAAAACACACACACACACACACACACACAGGCAAAAACTAACAAAAACTGCCACTTCATCCTCTACCCAAATGGATATTAAAATAGCAGTGAGAAATTATTGCTTTGGCAGTTTGGCAGGAAGTATCAAGAGCTTCAAAAACCAGTCACGTCCTTTGGTCCTGCCATCCACTTGTGGCAGTGATCCTAAGGAGAGGACCCTAAATTCAAAAAAACTTGATGCAGGGAGACAGTCATCATGGTCTTACTCAGAACAGCAGAGGATGGGAAGGACCTGAGTCGCAGCAGCAAAGCAGGAGGGTAAACACCTACTCACAGAGCAGCGTGCCACCATTTAAGATGTTCATGAAGCGTTTGTACGAACTTGGAGAGACCTGTCACATAGTAAATAGGGAGCAAAAATCCCAAATTGTGGTTTTTCAAAATACTTCTTTGACTTTCCTGTGTTTTCCAATTTTTCTCTAATCAGTCTGTGTGACTCTGTAATTTTAGAAGTATAAAACATTTATATGCTGTCGTGGCATTTAAAATAATGACCCTGTGTTTCTGCAGATCCATTTGCTACAATTCCATGGAACCAAATACGCGGCCATTGACCCGTCGATGGTCAGCGCTGAGGAACTGGAGGTGCAGAAAGGCAGCCTCAGCATCAGTCAGGAGGAGCAGTAGCTGAGGCATTGCCTGTTGATGACGAGCGGGCAAGAGAGTTCTTATCCAGTCAGCAGAGTGAGTGCCCGCCCGATGCCCCCTCTGCTCCGTTGTCGGCTTCATCGGTTATCACTGTGTTTGGAAGTAGGACTGATTGTCATCTCTGTGACAGGTGGCAGCTCTTCTGAACCAGTGTAACTATTCCCCCTTCGGTTTTTTTTTTTAGCTTTCGAATTTGAGGAAGTACTTTTGAAGATTCCCATTTTAAGAATTGTGAAAATTTTGCTACCAAAAGTCTTCTCACCACTGTGTTCTTAAGTGAATGTTGATTTCTGAGGTTTGGGATTTTGTGGGGTTTTTTTTTTTTTTCCTTTTCTTTCCTCCTTTCTTTCTTGTTACGTTATTTGCTGTAAATGCTGCACATCCAGATTGTGTATCAGAAGGACATTGGTTATGTTTATGCTTTCTTGGTGCCAAGTGCCAAGGCTGTCTGTCACCCCACTGTTTGCTCTCCATCCAAAATCAACTACTCCTAATTTCCGGGTAAGCAGATCATTTTCTGTTTTATCTGCTGTCTTTCTAGCCATTACAGTCATTTGGAATAAAAACTCAATTTCAGTGAGTGGCTTTGGTGATTATTGTAGTTGCCCAACTGGGCTGCATAGACATAGAACTTTCTGAGAAGCAGACCATGGTGTTGTTGGACAGTTCTTTGTGACATTAGATAAGTTACTTAATCTCACTAAAGTGCAGTTTGCTCCTTGTAAAGTAACAGTAGCTCTTCTTTATTGAGCTGTTAGTATGTGCCAGGCACTTTTCATACCTTCTTGTCTCCCCCTCAGTGGGAATGTCTCTTAAATCTCTTTTAAACTGTAAATTCCTATTTTTTTTCTTGCCATTAATTTGTTTTTGTTTTTGTTTTTTCTTGCCATTAATTTGTTGAAGAAACAGGCTCATTTGCTCTACAGAATTCCCCACAGTCTGGATTTGGCTGATTACAGCTTCACAGTGTCCTTTAACTTGTTTCTATGCCCCTGGTATTCCCCATAAACTGGTAGTTACATCTGGAGGTCAGTCAGGTTCAAATTCAGTGTTTTGGGTGGGAACACTTCATAGGCAGAGCTGTGTGCTTCCCACTGTGTCAGCTCAGGAGGCACGTAACATCTGGTTGTCCCTGAATCGTGAAGATGGCTGGGAGGTGTCAGGCACTGTCAGCCAGATCCAGCCAGTGCTGATCTCTGCACAGATGTTCTATGTCCTTAGAGGGTGCAGAGCAGTGACAATAACTCTAATTTTTATCATTCCATTTATTAACTAGAGTTCTCTGGTTTTTTTTTTTTTTTAAGTCTTCCCCTCACCAACTATTTGGTTTCTCTGAGGTACAATTTAGACCAAAAAATCAGCATCAGTGCTTCTTTCCCTTTAAGTTTTCAGAACATTGAATCAGCCATGCTCTTTCCGATTTCACCCCCACCACAACCCTGGTTAAGCTGATTTTACAGGGGAGGTCACGGAGGCTGGGAGCGGCCAAGAGGGGAAGGGCGGAGCTGGGACGCCAACTTGAGTCTGACCATCCCTAAAAGCAGTGGTGGTCTTTCCACATAGGCCAGTGTCTGCTCTGACTGCCTTGTGCCTCAAGAACAGTTGGGAGTTATGGAAACACCTGGAAGCCGTGAAGGTAGAGCTTAATGTTTTTCACTGTTAGCATCTAAGGCTACTTCCCAACCAATGGGGAGCTTCTGTGGACTGGGCCAGGCTGCACATGGTCAGCAGCTCCTTCTTCACCTGGCACAGCAGTGGACTGTGGGACTGCCCTCCGCTTTCTCTTCACATTCTCCCTGTGTGAGCCACTTCACCCTGACAGCTTGAACTACTCCCTGGCTCCATGCCCCGATGACTGCCATTTCCAGCCCCGACTGATTTTTCAGCTGGCCTTGAATGCCTAACAGGCCTATCAGGCCAGCCTTCTACAGGCACACCTATGTCCCCACTGCCCAAACCTGCCCCTTCTCTCCTAAACTGTCATCTCTGTTTCCAGGATCACTGTTCCCCAGATTCCTCAGCTAGAAACGCAGCCATCTTGGACCCCACCCCCATCCCCACATCTCAGGCTGAAGCAGGTACCGAGATGAAACTTTGGGAGCAAAATGGTTATTTAGGATCAAAGGAAAGAGGTTGTGGAAGGAAGCCGATTGGTCATGGGAGAACCTGAGCTATGACAAGCCTGACCAAGCACCAGCCGACCACGTAGCGGGCTCTGGAGCTAGGAGCGCCTGTTGGAATAGTCTCATCGGAGGCTGAAAGAGCGAGGCCCTCCTGCCCCTCCAGCTCATCTCTCCTCCTTGCATGCTTCCTGTGTTCCAATCACACCATTCCCCAAACAGATCCATCTACACACCACTGTGCATTGCACAGACTGTGCTTTTTGCTTGGAATGTGCTTTCCCCACTTCTGTCTTCTCTGTGAGCTTCTCAGACCTTCCTCCCCTTCCTCTTTCCCTTCCTCCTTCCCTTCCCCAAGGAAGAACAAACCCCACAGTTCTCTGTACACACCCATCCTAGCACCAACCACATGACAGTACCTTATTGGTGTCCCAGTTCCTCCACCCCCCAACATCACAAGCTCCCAGAGGGCAGGAACTGTGGCTACTCAGCTCTGTACCCCGGCTCCCAGCAGACTGCTTGGCACAGAAGACACTCAGGAAATACGGACTGGCCATGGTGAGTTGAGTGGTACGGTTACACAGAACCAATCCACAGCAGCTTGTCTGACTTGAAATTTTGCCATACGTCTCCCAAACAAAACAAATACTGAACGCGAAAGATGAATTTCAACATTGCAATTTTAAGAACTTGCTTTTTTGTCTCAAAAAAAAAATACAAAATTTATTTTGCAGAATTCATCCAAATAAATGGTCTAAGTCTCATGTGGTACAAAATACATTTCCTAAATGGAATAAATGGAAAAGAAGTTTCTCCCCCCTCCACAAAGCACATGCAGGGGCGCCTGGGTGGCTCAGTCAGTTGAGCGTCCGACTCTTGATCTCAGCCCAGGTCTTGATCTCAGGGTCATGACTTGAAGCCCCACTCTGGGCATGGAGCCTACTTAAGAAAATGAAAAACAAAAAACACAAAACCACAGCATATGCAGAGAAAGGGCACGGAGGTCCGCGTGCTGCACTGGGGGGTCTGAATCTGGCTGTGAACGCTGAGGCCTCAGGCCTACAAGTTACTGCCTGTAAAACAGGTTCGTTTCAAAGCCTCCTTTTCTTTTCATAAGTTCTAGGTGGTTTCTAAAAATTATTAATAGGAACGGTTAAAAAAAAAACAACCTGAGCAGATAGCACAGAGTTCTCATGCACCCCTGTGCACAACACGGTTTCTGCTACATTTATTTGCATTCGTATTAGTATGGCGTTTGCAGGTTTATCTGCAGGATAAATTCCTCCTGGTGGGATTGCTGGGTCAGAGGGCAAATGCATTTGTCATTAGGGCAGACGGAATGGCAGCTGCTTTTCAGAGGACTGCACCACTGTCAGCTCCCCCCGGCCCTGTGTGACGGCTGAAGAACCTTTCAGCTCTAACAGCTTTATTCTGTCCGCCTCCCAGGACTCAGGCCCAGCGGGTAACTCTGTGGGGAGTTTTTCTAAGATGTGGGCTCCTAAACTGGCCACAGAGAACTGTGCCACATGCGGGAGAGCTCAAATTAGAAAGAGCTTGGGGGCAGAACTTCCAGGCTTATTATCCTGCGCAGATAGCCTCCACATCTGTGCAACCACGGGGAGGCTTCCAGAGTCGCAGCTTCCTGGAGCCATGCTCTCGCCAGTGCAGCCGAGCCCCGGAGCAGCCGGTGCTGGCCTGGCACCTGAAAGCAAAGCTCCACACCAGCTGAGCCGTCCAGTATGCTTGCCCCTTGCCACAGATGCCTCTTTAAATTTTTTTTTCTTTTTTGAGATTTTATTTACTTATTTGACAGAGACACAGCGAGAGAGGGACCACAAGCAGGGGGAATGGGAGAGGAAGAAGCAGGCTTCCTGCGCGGAGCAGGGAGCCCGATGTGGAGCTCGATCCCAGGACCCCGGGATCATGACCCAAGCCGAAGGCAGATGCTTAATGACTGAGCCACCCAGGCGCCCCGACTTATTTAAATTTCTAATCATTCAAATTAAACTACACATTCGGTTCCTCGGTCCCACGAGCCACACTTCAAGTACCCAGCAGCCACAGGTGGCTAGGGGTAAATGTATTGGATAGCATAGATCTGGAACATTCCCGTCACCATAGAAAGTTCTGTCAGATGGTGCTGCTCTGGAGAGGTGACCCTCTGTATGGGGCTAGTAAAACTAAGAATGACAACTAAATGTAAGGTGTGTGATCCTGGACTGGATCCTGGTCCAGAAAAAGGCCATGAACGGCTCAACTGACAAAATCGGAATCAGGTGTGAAGAGCAGTTAAGAGTACGGTATCAGTGTTAACTTCCTGGTTTTGAAAATTAGGCTGTGATTGTGTAAGATGTTAGTATTTGGGGAAGCTGTATTGTGAAATGTATTCAGAAATTCTTTGTACTGGTTCTGCAATGTTTAAGTCTGAAAGGATTTCAAAATAAAATTTTTAAAATTAAAAAAAAATCCTAAAACGAGAGAAAAAAAAGAGTGTGTGCCTCCTGGAACTGTCACGGTGTACAAATAAGCTTGGGGACAGAAAGAGAGCTGTGGAGTAAGCTCAGCATTCATTAAAAGCCAGTGAGTGGGTGACGGGCGGGCGGTTTTGTAAGTGCTGGCTGGAGAGACCACAACAGCTGATTAGCTGCTTCATCCATCCTCGGCCTCAGTGTCCTCTTTGAAGAGATGCCCCTTGCATCTCAGGGGACTGCTGTGAGGCTCCGAGCTATAAAGGACCATACCTGTGGGAAGGGATTACCTGCAAAACCCGGACTGGCCCCTGGACCAGCGCTTGTGGAAGAGACCACAAGCGGCGCCAGGGGCTCAGTACAAGCGGCCGGAGGTCTGTTACGGCGATTTTTTTTTTTTAAGCCCTCAAGTGGTGGTCCTCTTCTATTTAGTGGCCCCCCCACTCTGAGGCTCCATGCCCCTGAAGGTCTGGCCCCTCTGGTTACATGGCCGTGCACCTGCTGGGGGCCCTCGGGTCAGCATTTGCTTTCTTCCTGATGCTTTCTGCAAGAGAGAAGAATCCTATTGCTTCATGTTGCCTCGGCTCCGCCTCACCGGGCTGGTTTTTTGTTTTAATTGCCTGCCAGTGTTTGTGCTAGAAGACAGAATGATATTTAAGACCATTTTCGAAAAAGAAAAAAGTCCCTGATGCCTCCCCTCTGCAATGAGTTTTTTCCCACCTTGCCTGCAGCAGCTGTGAGTTCCCCACCACACAGGGGGCTCTCCTTTCTCCTCTCTAGGACATGCTAGCCATGTTTTCACGGTTAGTGCCTGACTGACAGAGCCTTTGTTACTACTGCTGACCGCCTGAGACCCCGTCCCGTGCCCCATAATGCACCACGCCAGGGGACGTCACGTTATTTAAGGCTTTTTCAGCATACGCTGATTTTGTTTTTAATGAGGGATTTGTACTGAACGTTTTATCTCGCTTGCCTGATAGTTCCACAGGGTGCTCAGAATCTCAAACCAGGCTTTTGGAATGGACAGACTCAAAAGGTTGTGATGGCCTCAAGAAATTTGATTTAGGGGCGCCTGGGTGGCTCAGTCGGTTGAGCGACTGCCTTCGGCTCAGGTCATGATCCTGGAGTCCCGGGATCGAGTCCCACATTGGGCTCCCTGCTCAGCGGGGAGTCTGCTTCTCCCTCTAACCCTCCCCCCTTTCATGTACTCTCTCTCTCTCTCATTCTCACTCTCTCAAAATAAATAAATCTTTAAAAAAAAAAAATTTGATTTATTTGCCAGGTCAAACTGGTTCAACTCCTATTAAGCCAGTTCTGGCCCATATGTCCTACTGTTGGAAAAGAAGTCTGGAAGAGAAGTCTGCAGGCTGTTCCAGCCTTACTCCAAGCTAGGGGGAAAAAAAAAAAGTACAGAGGGCCAGTGAGGAGACGACAGCATCAGTGGCTTTGCGGCTGTGAAGGTTGCAGGCATCACCTGAGCCAGCACCCTCAGGGCACAGGTGGGGAAACCGGGCCCAGGAGGCACTGGTTTGCCCAGGGCTCTGCCTGAATTCCTGTAGACAAGGCTAGGACCAGGAATCTGGAAGGTTCAGAGCCAGCACCACAGCACTATGGTCTGAGCAGACCTTCGGGGGCTCTGTCACATTCCAGGGGGCAGGGCAGTGCTGCCCTGAGCAAGGGACACTTACCAGCTAGGTCCCTCCTGTCAATCGCCACGAGGCCCTCAAACAGTGCTTTGCTGGGGTTCTCGCCGGCTGTGGCCACACCATGCAGCCAGATGAGCAGCATCCGGTGGCCGTGCTCCTGGTAGCTCTTGGTGCCTGAGGACCACGAGGGGAGAAAGAGAAGGAGCCAACCGAGCCCACCTTGGCAGAGCCAGCTCTAAGCTGCCCTGCACCACCTCCTGCACGTGCCCAGGTGGGAAAGAGCCAGGCCCTTCTCCAAGGTGCTGTGGAGCTCAGCCCAGAGATAGGGACAGGAGGGAAGGGACAGGCTCGGATGGGGTTGGGGCGGAGGTTTTGTGTTGGGGACTCTAGAACTTCCCCAGCCCCAGGCTTTCTCCTGAGCATCCACCATGCATCCTGTTGGTGTTGCTCTGAAGACAGAATTGGCACTCATTGTTGTGATCCCATGTGGCACAGGACTATTCCCTGCATCTCTGGCTACTCACAATAATCTGTGCCTTGCCCGCTAGTGGTCCTGTTTTACAGATGAGAAAACCGGCTTAGTGCACGACAGAGGTGGCCATGTTCTTTCCCCTGTGCCGGTGGTTCTCAGCTGTAAGTGCTCACTGGAAACCCCCGGGAAGCCTTCCAAAAAACACTGACTTCTGGGTCCCATTCCCTCCCTAGAGATTCCAACCTGCTTGGGTCTGGGCGCAGCCTGGGCACTGAGCGGTGTTAAGGCTTCCCAGATGATTCCAACGTATGGCCACGATCTTCAGTGTGGGAGGAGGGGTGAGCTTGTTACTACACTCTGTGACTAGGTAGGTCTCCTCTCCCAGCCACTGGGGCCAGGTCAGTCCATGCACTGCGTCCTCTGACTTTCTGGCCCCCTCCGGGCCCTCAGCAGGCACTTCCTCATGAGGCTGCCTTTGGCAGAGCGGTTTCATTTGGCCCATTTATTCACTGTCCCTTGCCCCCAGCCCCATAATTTACCCGTGCTCCTTTGTCCTCTCTGAAAGTTCTTATCTGACACAGAGGTTACGTTTGGACTCCCTGCTCTATTCCACTAACTGGTGTACATATTTTTCTGCCAGGTATCTCTCTATGCTAATTATTTGAGCTTTATAAAAGGTTGAGTCTGGTTGGATTAGATCCTCTTCACTTTCCCCCGCAGAATATTCATTTAAATAGCCCCTCTTTGGGGGTGCCTGGGTGGCTCAGTCGGTTAAGCGGCTGCCTTCAGCTCAGGTCATGGTCCAGGATTCTGGGATGGAGTCCAGCGTCAGGCTCCCTGCTCAGCGGGGAGTCCGCTTCTTCCTCTCCCTCTGCCCCTCAACCCCAGCTCACGCTGTCTCTCTCATGCTCTCTCATATGTGCTCTCTCTCAAGTAAATAAAATCTTTAAACATTCCCTCCCTCTTTATTCTTTCAAGTGAACTCTAGAATCCTTTAGTCAAGTTTCAAAAACCTGTTTTGCTTTGATTAAAACTGAAACAGGGGCACCTGGGTGGCTCAGTCAGTTAAGCATCCAACTCTTGGTTTTGGCTCAGGTCATGATCTCAGGGTCATGATCTTGGGGTTGTGGGATCGAGCCCAACGTTGGGCTCCGAACTCAGTGAAGAGTCCGCTTGGGATTCTCTCTCCCTCTCCCCCTGACTGCCGCTTGATCTCTCTCTCTCTAAAATAAATAAATCTTTTTTTTTCTTTTAAAGATTTATTTATTTGAGAGAGAGACAGCAGAGAGAGCACACAAGCAGGGGGTAGTGGGAGAGAGAGAAGCAGGCTTCCTGCTGAGCAGAGAGCCCGATGAGGGGCTCAATCCCAGGACCCTGGGATCATGACCTGAGCCGAAGGCAGACGCTTAACGACTGAGCCACCCAGGAGCCCCTCTAAAATAAATAAATCTTTAAAAAAAATCAAATTTTTAAACTAGTTTGGGAAAAATCAATGTCTACCTGACACTTTTTCTAGCCAGGAATATAGAATGTCATTCCACCTAACAAGTCTTTTTTTATAGTTGAATTTTTATTTTACTCATATGCCATTCATATTTTTTAGGAACTATTGCAAATGGAATAGCTTTTCAAAAATACCTCTATATATTTTCCCCACTTATTGATGGTACACAAGAATACCATGGTATCTGTATATTTTATCATATTTAGCCATTTCACTGAATTATTGAGTTTTTCAGTTGATTCTTCTGGACTTCCTGTGTATAGGATTATAGCATCTGAAGTTAATAAATCTCTCTCTTCCTTTCTAATATTTACAGTCCTTATTTCTGTTTCTGTTTTCTGCCTTAGTACCAGGGACATTTTTTTTTAAATTTTATTTATTTGAGAGGAGAGAGAGAGAGCATAAGCATGGGAGGGGGGTGGGGGGCAGAGGGAGAGAGAGAAGCAGATTCCCAGCGAGCAGGGAGCCCGATGCGAGGCTCGATCCCAGATCCCAGGACCTTGGGACCATGACCTGAGCTGAAGGCAGATGCTTAACCGACGGGACCAACATTTCGAGGCAGACACTAAATAATGGTGGCAATAGCTGGTCCTCTCCTTTTTATAGGGAGTGCCTTTAGTTTGGTGTGTGAATGATTGGTATCAGCTTGGGCTAATTCATGAAGAATGTGAGTTTACAGGTCAATGGGGAGGGAGAGGCAGAGGGCATGGCCTGAGCAAAGGCCTGGAAGGATGAAGAGGCATTTGGGATGTTGGCGATGGCATGTGGCTTGCTGTGATCAGGCTGTGGGTTGCAGGGCTTTCCCCCCAGAAACACAGAAAGCCTAATACACAGTGCCCCCACCTCTCCACCCACTGGTCACTCTGGGGTGGGGAGAGGCAGGGCGGTACCTGTCCACTGCTGCTCGATGGCATGGACGTGGGCCTCGGTGAATTCCCAACAATATGCGAGCTTCTTCCACTCATGAGGCCGCAGGTCCCTGGAGGCCAGTCGCCACAGCACACGGGAGAATTGCCGCCCTCCCTGCTGATGGTCCTGCTTAAAGGTCAAGTTCTTCCCACAGGGATCCCTGGGGTCCCTGCGCAAGAGGTGATCCTGTGGAGCAGATCCCCAAAGTGCAGCTGCCACCTGGGGGGAAATCCCTGCCAGGCTCTCCCTTGGGAGTTTGGATGGGGCTCTGGCAGGCATCCAGGCCTGGGGCTTCATGTCTGCTACTCTGGTTTCTCACTCTGTGCCTTGCTTGGACTTGCGGAACCCCAGCAGCTCACACTCCATCCAGAATTCCTTTTCTCACCTGCCTGTGCCTCAACCCCATTGCCACAATCCAAAGATCACCCACAGGCCACCTCTTCCAGGAAGCCTTCCCAATTCCTCTCTTCTCTCTGTGTTCTTACAGCGCAAGTGTCAGCAGAAGGACTCAGCGGCTCTTAACACCAGTCAAGCCAAGGATCAGGCACTAACTAGATCTGCTGAATCCCAACAAGTAGTGAAGGGCAGGATTACAGAATTTCTATGCAAAGCAGGTGATAAAATGAGAAGTTACAAAAGAATTATGTGATAGCATAAGTTAAACCCACAAAAGCCTAAGTAAGCCCCTCTAAAGGATGTGGATACAGAGTTCTGGTTCTTAAAAAAGCTCAGGTGAGTTCTGGCATCCGCAGCTGCAAATCTTACATCCTGGTCAACAGTGTCTGGCCAATCACCTGTGACGTGATGACCAGGGAGACTGGCTCTAACGTGGGGAGTTTCCCCAGCAGTGTTCCCAGCTGCATCTGTATATTGGGATCATCTGGGAGCTTTAAGAACCACTGATGCTTGGGGCACCTGGCTGGTTCAGCTGGTAGAGCATGAGACTCGATCTTGGGGGTGTGAGTTTGAGCCCCTCGTTGGGTGTAGAGATTAATTTAAAAAATAAAATCTTCAAAAAAAATCTTTAAAAATAGAATCTTTAAGGCGCCTAGGTGGCTCAGTTGGTTAAAACTCTGGCTTTAGCTCAGGTCATGATCCCAGGATCCTGGGATCGAGCCCCATATGGGGCTCCCTGCTCTGCGGGGAGCCTGCTTCTCCCTCTCCCTCTGCCTGTGCTTTCTCTCTCTCTCTCTCTCTCTCCGTCAAATAAATAAATCTTTAAAAAATAAGTAAAAATAAAAAACAAGGGGCGCCTGGGTGGCTCAGTCGTTAAGCGTCTGCCTTCGGCTCAGGTCATGATCCCAGGGTCCTGGGATCGAGCCCCGCACCGGGCTCCCTGCTCGGTGGAAACCCTGCTTCCCCCTCTCCCACTCCCCCTGCTTGTGTTCCGTCTCTCGCTCTCTCTCTGTCAAATAAATTAAAAAAATATTTTTAAAAAAATAAATAAAAAACAAAACTACCGATGCTTGGACCCGTACTTCAGAGACTCAGATTGAATTGGCCCGGGGGTCGGGGGTGGTTTGTGATTCTAGCTGAGCCGCTGCCTTGGCGTTGAGAACTTTTAAAGTCTGAGGTGTTAGAATTAAGCACAGAGATAATCAGTTCATCAAACTCTTGGTATTAATATTTTGGGGTTACATTTAGGAGTAACCTGTTGTATGCAAAGGAGCTGTAATGTTTCTGAGAATCTCGCATGTCTGTGAAAGAGAATATCTTATGATTCCTATTGAAATTTGTTATTAATCAATTGATTTTGAAATAGTGATTTTTTTGAGCGGTACAAGAGAAGCTTACTAAGTTTGCAAACAATATTGGAATGTTTAAGATATTTGAGATTCACTTTATAGGTTTAATTTACCGGATTTTACTAGGATAATTTAAGAATTTAGGGGGCACCTGGGTGGCTCAGTCAGTTAAGCATCCAACTGTTGATTTGGGCTCAAGTCATGATCTTAGGGTTGTGGGATCAAGCCCCGTGGCCTGCTTGGGATTCTCTCTCTCCCTTTCCCTCTGCCCCCACCTCCCTCTTTAAAAAAAAAAAAGAAGGAAAAAAGAATTTAGGAAGTAAAGTGCTTAAAAAATATCTATCAAATTTAATGTTTAAAATGTTTAAGATAGTTTAAACATGGGTCCAAACATTAATTAAAAGGCTTCCCTGAAAGTGGAAATTCCTAAAAAAATACCAGTTGTATAAATGGAATAAGATTTATAAAATGAATTTATAAGTTTAAGGAAAACTAGGTGGTTCTTTTTTTTTTTTTAAGATTTTATTTATTTAAGAGAGTGAGCAAGAGAGAGAAAGAGAGAGCACATGCATGAGCAGGGACAGAGGGAGAGGTAGAGGCAGAGGCAGACTCCCTGCTAAGCAGAGAGCCTGATGCAGGGCTCCATCCCAGGACCCTAGGATCATAGATTGTGACCCCAGCAGAAGGCAGACACTTAACCGACTGAGCCACCCAGGCGCCCCAAGGAAAACTAGGTTTTAAAATTTGTAATAAATTATTTTTAAAACTGAAGTAAATGCAAAAATTATTTTCTGTGTATAAAAACAACCTCAAAGACATCAAAAAACTCCCCACCCGACCCCCATTTGCTGACAATTGGAATAGCATGGCCTTACATCTGCTGCTCTTCCTCCCCAATTCCTCAGCAAGCAACACTAATCAATCCCAGCACACTTTCCTTCTGGGCTCAGAAAGTTGCCTGACTACAACACCCCCAGCAGCAATTCCAGTCACCTGGAGACGGCAGTAAGCTGAAACCAACTTGCCATCTCTTTCTTCATGCACGCAGGCATGCGCCCATGCATCCAGCAACCAGGAGCTCTAACAGCATCCGGTACTATCTCCACAATGGTACGGACCCCGGTCTGCCTTGTTGCAGTGTGGTTGGGTGCTCACTCATCTCTAGATGCTCACAGACAAGCCTCGTGGTAGGTAAGGCACCACAGATTATCACCTCCTCAGAAACTGGGCGGGGCTGAATTGGTCAGGGCTGGGGTTCAAAGCCAGCCCCACCCCGAGCCAAGGCCGCTGCCTCTGCAACATGGACAGATCTCGTGCAGGGTGTCAGTACCTTCTCCCACGTGTAGAGGCGATCAGCCTTTATGATCATGTCCACCAGGCTGATGTGGTTGCTGCGAGTGGCCACCGCCAGGGCAGTTTTCCCTTGCTGCAAGGAAGAAGTAAGAAGGGGGCCTCTAGCTTCGGCTGCAAACGCTCCTGCCCCCAAGAAAGCGGTTTCCAGCAGTCTACACTGGAGAGCAGAAAGGTTTTCTGGGCATGACGAGGGGCGTGGGAGGCACAGGTCGAATGAGGCAATAATCCCAGCAACCGCCTCTTATTTAGAATTTAGGAAGTCTTAGAGTGTATGAAGCCCAGCCTGCATAACTCCTCAACAACACCTGTGAAATAGCAAGACCTGGCCTGCTTCTTAGATGAAACCAGAGCCCAGAGAAGGGGACTGGGTTCATCAGGTCACGTCTGCCCACCCCACCCAGGCCCTTTGCTCCAGGCCTCCCGCACAGGGCTGGCCTTAATCCCCACACACGTGCAGGGCGTTGGGAAGTTCCTCTTCGCACCTGGCCGGCTGCCCTGGGGCCCAGGTCAAGGCAGGGAGCCCCCTCCCAGGTCTAGTCTCAGGGTCTATTCCTGCCCCCAACTCTTCCGCACACCATCCCAAGGACTGGGCCACGTATCCAAGCCTCTTCCCCTCGTGAGCCTGTGGCCTCCTTAGCCTTATACCAAGTCCTCAGGTCATCTGGACTCTCCAGCCACCTGAGGGAGTAGCCACCCCAGAGGCACAAAGAGCCAGGAAGCTTCCCCACCCCTGACCCACAAGTAGGGGGCTGTGGGGCAGTGAGGTACCGCTCCTCTACTCCTTCTCCCCCTGGCCACCTGGCAACTCAAGGAGCTCAAAGTCTGAGGGACCATGAAACAGAAGACAACCACCTCACAGTTCTAGACCAGCGGAAGGGCAGGCCAAGTCCTAAGGGACCTCAGAGAAGGAAGGGGAAGGTGATGGAGGGGCAGGAAGGCTTCCTGGTGGAGGGTGTATCTGAGCTAGTATACAAAGGATGGGAAGCCTTGAACAGTCTGAGAGCAGGAGACGTTTGTAGTAGGGTCTCTGGCAAAGAGGGAGCCATGAAAACTTGAAAGGGAGGCTGGTTGGGAGGTACCTTGTCTCTCAGGTTTAAGTTAACCCCCGTGACGAGGAGCATCTCCGCTATGTCCTGCCTGGCGTGCTCAGCAGCAAGGTGGAGGGGCGTCTGCTGCCTCTGGGGAAGAAGCCAAGGGGTCAGGGGAGTAGAAAAGCATGTACAAGTGTCCCAAGGCTCAAAGCCAGGACAGGTCCAAGGTGGGTCCACTCCTAATTGGGCCTTAACAAGTTTATCTAAAAGTTATGGGAGAAAGTAAGCTGGGTTTAGTCATAAGCACAATACCAGAGAAAACTTGGTAAAAACAAAAAAGCAGAAAGAATAAAGGAAAAAAATACCACTTGCTAGCTAAGCCAACCTCTGTAACAATCCTACTATATTTCTTCTAGTCTTTAATGTAGAATGCTTTTGATTTGTTGGTTTTACATGAGATCATCCCATATATACATTTTGCATCCATTTTTTCTACCTAACATGTCCACATATTATGACAAACACCATTTTTAACAGCTCCATAGTAATCTACATCTAGCCCATAATCTACCTGATCACTTCTTTATTATTAAATATTTGGGCCATTTGCAAATTGAAGATTGATAAGCAACGCTACAATAAATATCTTTGTGCATGAGCTTTTAATGTATCTCTTGAGGCTCAATTCATTAAAGTGCGAAGACTGATCACTTTGAAGGTATATGCTGTATCCTGCCAAGTTGCTTTCCACCACTCGTGGTTGTAGGTATGGGTACTGAGGGCTCTGTGGTCCGGGGGAGGACTGTGGTGATGGGGAATTCAAAGGGCTCCTGACTGAGCACAACTTCAGGACTCAGAGGCCTCTCGTGACACAAGACTGCCCCACTCACCCCTGTCCTGGGAATTTTCCTAAAGGAAAAGAAAAATCAATGAAAGGAAACGGTGGAACGTAGGAAGATGTTTACTGCAGTGTTATCCGGACCATGGTAACAACCTGGAAACCACCAAAATGTTCAAAATAGAGGAATGGTTGATAAAATGATGTTACCTTCAACGAATATTCACACAGCTTTTTTATAAACTAAAAAAGTAATTTCTCAACTCCAAGCCATGCTAGGAGATGGCAGCCAAGCCCTGCCAGCCTGGGAGGGTGCCCAGAGGTTCCCTGGGGCCCAGACGGTTTCTGTAACCACTTACATTGTCGGTGGCATCCAGGTCACTGCCGGCGTCGATGAGGAGCTGGACCAAGGCAGGGAAGTGGTGCTTCACAGCCAGGTGCAGAGGAGAGGTGCCCTGCTGGGGGAGGAGACACATGGATCATTCACGGGGTCCCTCCCAGGACTGCCCAGAACAGGTTGGTAGGTTGGTGCTGGGGGATGGACGTAGGGAGGTGTATGGAGATATAGTGCTTCTAGGTTTGGCCCTTTTCTTTTTTTTAAGATTTTATTTATTTATTTGAGAGAGAGAGCACAAGCAGAGGGAGCGGCAGGCAGAGGCAGAGGCAGAGGGAGAGGGAGAAGCAGGCTTCCCGCTGAGCAGGGAGCACGATGCGGGGCTCGATCCCAGGACCCTGGGATCATGACCTGAGCCGAAGGCAGACGCTTAACAACTGAGCCACCCAGGTGCCCCGAAATGACATATTTTTTAAAAGATATCCTTTTCATGACAGTCAAAATTATAAAGTATCTATGAAGAGTATAATTGTTAATGGACATATCAAAGGCAAAATAAAAGCCATATAACATCACTGGAGGATGGAAAAGAAAAGAAATAGTAAGACTTCATGCTCCTAGTGAAAAATTAGTATAAAGATGACCATTTTCTCTTATATTATTTACAAGTTTAGTGTAATCCCAAACCCAAATATCTATAAATGCCAAAAAGGATTCTGAAACACATCTAGAAAAAAATTTTTAAACCCAGGGAAAACTACCCCAAGAATTTCAACAGAGTCCTCAGATCATTGCTGGATGACTGTGAAATCAAAATCTGGCCAGGAAAAGGTGTGCTGGTGCCAGTGAATGGGGAGAGACTGAAACTGGCTCAAACGCATGACTCAGGTGAGCCTGGAAACTTGTCAGAACTACAAGGACCGTCTTTCCAGAAAGAAAGCAGCAGGCTATGGAGATAAAATAAGCGAATACTCTGGATCTAGCCTCGGTCATCCTGGAAACACGTCTGAGGGAATGTGGTCAGAAAGGGGAGTGGAAAGAGAGCAAGTATGGCTTTTAGTTGTTTTACATTTTATTTATAAAAACCAAAAGAACCAAAAAGTACACAAGGTACCTAGTGAAAAGGCTTCTTCCACCCCCATCACCCATCTGCTCATACTCCCCACTCCTAAACCCCACTGGTAATCTTTTTTTTTAAGATTTTATTTATTATTTATTTGTCAGAGAGAGAATAAGCAGGGGGAGTGGCAGGCAGAGGGAGAAGCAGGCTCCCCGCTGAGCAGGGAGCCCAATGTGGGACTCAATCCCAGGACCCTGGGATCATGACCTGAGCCAAAGGCAGAGGCTTTTTTTTTTTTAAGGTTGTATTTATTTATTTGACAGAGAGAGAGCACAAGTAGGCAGAGTGGCAGGCAGAGGGAGAGGGAGAAGCAGGCTCTCCACTGAACAGGGAGCCCGATGCGGGGCTTGATCTGAGGACCCCAGGATCATGACCTGAGCCGCGAAGGCAGCCGCTTACCGACTGAGCCACCCAGGCGACCCCAAAGGCAGAGGCTTAACCAACTGAGCCACCCAGGCGCTGTCCCCCACCCCCCCCCCCACTGACACTGGTAATCTTGACTGTTGCTATTATGTGTATCCTTCCAGAGATGCTTACATTTTTTTTAAAGAAGAACCTTAAATTAAAGTTTTATTTTGAGGTAATTACAGACTCACATGCAGTTAAAAAATAATGCAGAGAGCTCTGGTGTATCCTTTACCCACTTCCCCCCAGTGGTAACATCTTACAAAACCCTGGCACAGGGGCTCCTGGGTGGTGCAGTCGGTGAAGCGTCCCACTCTTGATTTCTGCTCAGGTCATGATCTCAGGATCCTGGGATCGAGCCCAGAGTTGGGCTCCATGCTCAGTGCAGAGTCTGCTTCTCTCTCTCCCCTCTGTCCCTCTCCCCTGCAGGCTCGCCCTCTCTCTCTAAAATAAAATAAATAAATCTTAAAAACCACAACAACCCTGGTACAATATCCCAAGCAGGATAATGACTCTGATAACATCCACTGTCTTATTCCGATCCCCCCAGCTTCACTTGTCGTCATTTGTACACGTGTGCGTTTAGTTCTATGCCATTTTATCACAGGTGCGTGTTTGTGTACCCACTGCACAGCCGAGATACAGAACCATTCCCTCACGGGGATCCCTTGTGTTGTTCTTTTATAATTCTCTCCTCTGTCCCACGTCCCCATCACTAACGCTCAGCAAACACTAATCTGCTCTCCATCTCTATTGTGTCATTTCGAGAATGTTCTATATAAGCAGAACCATACCATATGTGACTTCACAGACTGGCTTTTTTCACTCAAACATTATTCCCTTGAGATTCATCCACGTTGTTGCATGCACCAGTAGTTTCTTCTCATTGCCGAGTTGTATGAGTTGGGTGTACCACAGTTGCCCTTACCATTCACGTTTCAAAGGACATCTGGGTTGTTTCCAGGTTTGGCCTATTATGAATAAAGGTGCTATGAAAATTCAGGTACAGGTTTTTGTGCAAACAGATGTTTTTACTTCTCTGGGGGAAAAGGCCAAGAGTACAATTGCTAGGTCACAGGGTAACTGCATGTTTAGTTTTTCGAACAACTCCAAAGCTGTTTTCCAGAATGGTTGTACCATTTTACATTCGCACCAGCAAAGTAAGAGTGATCCAGTTTCTCCACAACCTTGCCAACATTTGGTGTCATCACTATTTTTTATTTTAATCATTCTGATAGGCGTGTAGTGATATCTCTTTGTGGTTTTAACTTGCACTCTCCTAACGGCTAATGATGTTGAATGTCTTTTCATACCCTTATTTGTCATCTGTATATTCTCATCAGTGAAATGTCTATTCAGGTGTTTTGTCCATTTTCTAATTTTTTTTTTTTTTTTACTGTAGAGCTTTGAGGTGAGGGTTTTTTTTTTTTTAATCTATTCTGCAGTGAATTTTATTGAATTCATAGGGTGCATTCCTTCATGAAAAATAATTTTAAAAAAAAGGCTGTACAGGCATGCTTTGTGAGACAAACCAGTGAGATGAAGCCTGCTCAGACCGGACCAGAGCAGACACCTCAGCCCACATGATGGTGCTTTTATTCAATACAAACAAACAGCAACAATGATAATAGGATGAGACCATAAATGCACAGAAACTTTCTGGGACTCCTGGCTACGCTCTGACCAATTTATCATTCTTTTCTTACCAGCCAGGTAAACAACTGAGCTCATCTGCTAATGCCAAAAATTTCAAAGCTCTTAATCCAGTTAGAAATGACTACAACTGAGGACCTTTCCTCTGGCTAGCTGGCTTCCCCAATTCAGAGTTGTTAGCAGGTCAATTTCAGCATCACAGAAAGTCTCCTCCGGCTGGCTGTACCACATACTGGTGACAAGGAGAGCTTTAACGTGTTCTGTGCTCAGGCCGCTGGGCCTCCGGACAGCTTGTGTCCTTCTGTGCACCTTGGTCCTGAGCATTCTGAGACTTGGTCAGCTGTGGATAAAAGGGACCTACCAGCCCATTCAGAGGTGTGTTGTTAACAAGATAATCCATCACATCATCTAAATACTCCATTTTCTGCAGCCTGCCCTTTGCGGGAAGTGAGGAGGTCATCAAACACTTCCTTAAAGGAGGCAGTGTTGCAGAACCCTGAGTAGATGTCACCGGCCATCACCCCCAAGGGACTGGCCTGATCTTGGATGTTCTGCAGTAACGTTTGGACATTGGACAGCAGAGTGTGGCATGTGGTCTGGAGCTGCTGAGTCAGGTGGTGGGCAATAGCAAGAGGACGTGACTCAAAGTGCTCAGCACAGTGGGACTCATCTGTATCATCATAGCCAATGCTCTTCCACTCCACCCAGGAGAGAGAGAACTTATCCTGAGCACCTTGAATTTTCTGGTTGGCACTATGCACATTCTTCCTGACTAATTTGATCGGATTAGCAGTGGAATGGAGCTGAGAAATGGTCTCTTGGCTTTTTTGCTTGGCTTCTTTAACCTTGCTGAGAACCTGCTGGTAGACACATGAGCAGAGCTTGGTAGACAGGGATCCCAGTCTAACGTAATAACTTGGCTTCTGAACTATATCAAATCCTTCAACTTTTTTTGCTCCTTTTTCTAGTTCTTTCTCAGTGAGAGGGAGGTACTGGTCCACCAACAACTCTGATTTGGTGAGCGCATTTTCTACTCCACGGCTCACCATCTGCACCATCCGACCTCCCAAGCCTGTGTTAATGCTGCCATTGACCATAGACTTAGTCTTCTCCACACTGCCTGTCACCACTTCTTTGGTCTTGTCCATCACCCCAGTGATGGTGCTGGCCATGGAATCCTTGGCCCCGGTAACAGTTGTGTCACAGTATCTTTTGCCCCGGTCATAACACCTCTGGCATTGGCAACAACCTGGTTGTTGCCTGATTCAGAATAGGCAGTTTCTCCTCAACCCTGTCTAGCCCCTTACAAGCATAGGTATTGGCAACCGCAATTTGTGGCTCTAGCTTCTGGATGATGGGCAGAGCACTGGTCACAGCCACGGAAGTGATGGTCTTCACACCCTTCTCTGCCATCTTGCACACAGACTTCAAGAGTAGATTTAGTTTGTAAGAAACTGTGAGACTGTCTTCCAAAGTGGCTGTACCATTTTGCATTCCCAGCAGCAATGAATGAGAGTTCCTGCTGCTCTGCATCCTCATCAGTATTTGGTGTTGTCAGTGTTTTGGCTTTTGGCCATTCTAGTAGGTGTGTACATCACAGTGTTCTTATGGAGCACTTCTTTACTTTGTGTCATTGCAAGACACTCCAGATTCCTCCTATATATTTCCTGCCCCAGTCCTAGAAGTTTCTCCAAGAGCCCTGGTACTTTTGATGGAGAGTGTTCATCTTGTTTTCTTCACATCTACAGCATTAAGATCTATTCATATATTTGTTTAAAAACTTCCCCAATTTGGAGCTCTCTTGCACTGTTGGTGGGAATGCAAACTGGTGCAGCCACGGTGGGAAACAGTACAGAGGTTCCTTAAAAAATTAAAAATGGAACTACCCTACAACCCAGCAATTGTACTACTAGGTATTTACCCAAAGAATACAAGAATACTAACAAAGGGATACATGCACCCTGATATTTATAGCAGCATTATCTACAATAGCCAAATGATGGAAGTAGCCCATGTCCATTGATTGATGAATGGATAAAGAAGATGTGAGATATATATATAAAATGGAATACTACTCAGCCATAAGAAAGAATGAAATCTTGCCTGAGCAATGACATGGATGGAGTTAGAGAGTATTAAGGTAAGCAAAATAAGTCTGTCAGAGAAAGACAAATATCATGATTCCTAGAAGTAGATTTGCTTCATCAGAGGGCCCATGCATTTGCACTTTGTTATACATATTGTGAAAATTGCTGTGTTGTATGGTTGTACCAATTTATGCTGGCTCCAGTAATATATGATGGTGCCTACTTCCTCACAGCTTTGTCAACACATTTGGCAAAACTTTGGGATTTGTACCAGTCTGATGAGTGGATGTATGTCCAGGTAGTATCAATTCACATTTCTTTTAAGGGTCATCTGTATTTCTTTTCTATAAAATGTCTGTTCATATCCTTTGGCTATTTTTCTCGTGGGTTGTTTTTTATGTTGTAATAATTTGCACAAACTCTTATATATTAGAAAGACTCAGTCCTTTATCTTTGAATCTGGTTTGTCATTTACCTTTTGACTTGGCTTATAGTCTCTTTTGCCAGGCAAAATGTTTTTATTTTTTATATAATCAAGTTTAGCAATCTTTTACGGTATGTGGATTTAGGACAACTCCCGTACCCCACTTTTCTCTTTCAGAGTGTTCTTAGCTATTTTGAACTTCAATTGTTTAAGAAAAAAAAAAAGATAAATGGGGCACCCGGCTGGCTCAGTTGGTAGAGCATGCAACTCTTGATCTTAGAGTCATGAGTTTGAGCCCCATCTTGGGTGTAGAGCTCACTTTAAAAAAGAAAAGTAGATAAAACAAAAAACCAGTCTCCACTGGACATGAATCAAAATTCTGATGTCTTGATGGTTAAAAACAACTAAGCATCCCCTTTTCCAGAATTCCGCCTTAGCTTGGATCTTTTCTAGCTAGAGGTGCTACTACACATAACGAAGAAAACTGGAAGGGAATAAAGAAAAGTCATTGCTTTACTAGGGTGCTGGGATGAGGGATGCCTTTTTTCTCCATATTCCAATGAACTGTGCTATATTGTTCTTACAATAATTTAAAATATAGTGCTTATTTAAGAAATGACCTCTTAAAAAACAAACAAAAACAAAAGAAATGACCTCTTTCTAATTTAAACAATAGATAGTTCCTCATTTATATAATGAGAATAATAATAGCACCTAAAGATAAAGAAACAAAGGCCCAAGGAGGTTAAAGCAACTTGCCCAAGGTCATTCAGTATGTGAATGGCAGTGCCAGGCCTCAAAGCCAGGTTGTCTGACAAAGGACATGTCTTAACCACAAGGATATACTGTCGCCTGTGAGTGCATCACAACCTAACAAGAAAAAATGAACAACCAAGAGGCTAGAACTGTAACATAAAAGACCATCACTAAAGGGCATCTGGGTGGCTCAGTTGGTTAAGCGACTGCCTTCGGCTCAGGTCATGATCCTGGAGTCCCGGGATCTAGTCCCACATCGGGCTCCCTGCTCAGCAGGGAGTCTGCTTCTCCCTCTGACCCTCTTCCCTCTCGTGCTCTCTCTCATTCTCTATACATATCAAAAAAATAAAAAAAAACTTAAAAAAAAAAAAAAAAGACCATCACTAAGTCCCAATGGATAAATGAGTGGAGAACACGAGCTAATAATTCGCTTGGGAGGAAATGCAGCTTGTTTGCTAACCCTGTTCTAGCTAGAAGCTTATCTGACCCTCCCTCACGCTAGCTACTGGGTCCCGCAGTCCTGGCCCTCATGCCAACCCCAGGGGCCCAAAGCACCCGTCTCTCCCTGCTGTGCTTCATCAGCGAGGTCATGGAGACTTTGCAGTGGGGACCCCCTTCAACCCAGGCCCCCACACTTACATGATCAGCCACGTTGGTGTGGCCTCCTGCGTGGATGAGGGCCCGGGCCACGTCCTCAGAGCCACAGAGGACTGCGTAGTGGAGGCAGCTCTGTTTTTTCTAGAGGGAAACAGGCATCAGTGCCATGTCCTGAAAGCCCCTCACACTGCGGCTTTGGGATCCATTATTCCATCTGTGTCTCACAACCCCCGGGACAATTACGCCCTTGAACCCTGAGGCTGGAGAAATCAATTGCCTTGCCAAGTCCTGGTGATGAGTAAAAGGAGCTCACTGTGGTCCTGGCTTTTCCATGCCTCCTGTCACAAACTCCAGAACATACATCAAAGCCTGCACAATTCCTAGGCTGGTAAAGACACGCAGAGTATACTCTGAGGTTTTCAAAGAGAGGAATAAATAAGATTTGCTAGCACAGATCAAACCCCACCTGGCACGCACTGCCCCGCTAGAGCTGGTCTCAGCATGTCCGCGCAGGAGCCGGGCAGCGCCAGGGCAAGGCTTCATCCCGATGGGCCTTCTAAGTGCCCTCCTTCAATCCAAGGACACCCCAGTCAAACAACGATCTCACATGAGATACCTCCTCCCCCTAACTCTGCCAGGCAGACCCCTCTAAGCAATCAGGGGTCCCAGGCTGCCCAGACTGTTACCCCAGGACTTTCAGTTTTGAAAACCAGGATGGTATGGGGCAAACTGGGACGAGCTGGTCACCCCCCCCGAAGTCCTATCTGAACTGAGTGCACAGGGTGAGTGGGAACCAGTCCATCTCCCAATGGCAAATGTACTCCCTTTGGGTTAGGCTCCACTCCAGAGACCCTGCGAGGGGTGGGGGTGTCCAGGTAGAATGTGCCCACTACCAGAAACCTCAAGCCAAGGCGAGAGCACAAGGCCCAGTGCAGTGGGCAGCTCCAGCCCTGCCAATGACCACCAGCTGGACACAACCTCCCCAGTCCCTAAACTCCTATGCTGCTGCTGCTGGGGAGATGGCCTTGACATTTCACTTCTTGTGCCCCCTTCCAGTCCTGAGCACTGTGCTGGGCACAGAGACAGGGTTGCTGCCCAAAGAGCAACACCGTGCCAATGGAAGGACCTAGCTGGGTGCTCTGGGGCAGCTGCTTCCACCCTCTGGGTGGGCCTTGGTGTCATCCCGACACCCTGGGGCAGCAAGGTGTACCTGCTAGAGGAGTTCTGCAAATTAAGTGTTTTGTGACTTATAAAGTATAATTCACATTGAAGGGGGGTTAACATTGATATTATTATTGAATTTATGTTTGTCATTTTGCTATTTATTTTCTGTATGTCTCCTGTCATTTTTGTTCTTCTGTTTCTCCTTGGTTGCCTTCTTTTGTGTTAAATATTTCTAGCATACTATTTTAATTCCTGGGCTTTTTCACTATTTTTGCTAGCATATTTTATTTATTATTATGGCTTTATTATTGAAATTTAGAGCAAATAGAGAATTCCAGACCATGAAGCCATGCAATCAGCCAAGACAGATTATTTGTCATTGATCTAAAAGTAAAAAGCTAAACAAAACAAAAACGCCAACTCCCTACCTAAGGCCACAACACCCCTTTTTCCAGGACACGGAGAGAATTTCCAGTGGCTGACTTAAGGAGTCAGTAGTGAGAGAGAGAAGAGGGCTGCCCCAGGCTCCAGCTCTGGGGACTGGTGTGGCTCCTGCACAGGCAGGGCAAATCTTCCAGGCCATGAGCTCTGCAGTCCGGGGAGTAGGCTTTTCAGACTCAGCTTTGCTTCTTGCCAGCTTGTGACCTGCGAAAGTCACTGAATCTCTCTAAGCTTCCGTTTCTTCATTGGTATAACGGGGGTAATTTTTCTTTGAAGGGATTGTTATAAAGGGGACTCATGAACTACCAAGGACCCCGCAATAAGAAGACACCAACAAGTGCTGAGCTCCTAGCACCTCCCAGGCACTGGGAGGAGTATTTACTCCTCACAGCATTATAAAAATGTGACTACGTATCATCCCCCTGTTATAGTTGGAAAATGAAGCTCAGAGAATTTAAGTGACTTGGCCTCACAGAGCCCCGCAGTGGAGAAGCCAAGACCAGACCCCAGGCCTGCTGCCTGAGGGCCCCTATTCACGCACGTTCAGGAATCACCGTGGCTGCTACTGTGGGCACCGTTAGAGTTAGGCTTCAGAAGCCAAGGGCAGACATCCATCCCAGGGGAGGACTGACTACCTGGGTGAGGGCATTCACACAGCTCCCGGCCTCAAGGAGCAGGTGTATACAGTCGGGGTGGATGCCTTCAGCCGCCACGTGCAGGGCAGTCAGACCTTTCTGAAACACATGGGGAGAGGTATGAAGACGGCAGGGAGGCTGAAGCCAGACCCTGAGAGGAGAGGGACCCCTCCCACTAGGGCTCCAAGGCTCTGGGAGCTCTCCACGGCCATGCTACTGAGGACAATAACCTGCGTCATTATTTGTGGTTCCCTGAGCCCCGTACCTGATTTTCTCACGTTGAGGAGCATGTGGTACATTGACTCCCGCCTCCACATCCCTGCTCACGTTCTCCCCCTCCAAGCTGCCTCACCTCCTGCTCTCTGTCTATACCTTCTTACTCCAGGAAGCCTCTAGCAGGAGAAAATCAGGCTGCACCTCGGGCCGTCCGTTCCTCGAAAGCAGGGAGAGAGTGAGCATCTCTGCATTCTCTGGGCGATGACTCACCGCGTTCTGCTCCTCCAGGTCCAGCCTGATGTCCACGAGCCGCTGCAGCACAGCCAGGTGGCCCCGGCTGGCAGCCAGGTGAAGGGCCGTGTTCCCCTCCTGCAGGCAGAAGGGCTCCCAAGGGACCGGTAGAATCATAGACCCTTCAAGGCCCTGGGGACCTGCTGGAAATGCCCCTCTTTGTATAGACATGGAAGCTGAGGTCCAGAGAGGGGAAGTGACACATTGGGGGTCACAGAGCGAGTCGATGAAAAACTGCAGCCCCGAACCCTGGGCCAATGTCTCCCTGCCTGTGAGAAGTGTGCCCCAAACTACAACCAGGGGCACTTACAAGGGCCAAGTCCTGGTCTTTCCTCACACTTGAAGGCAGACACAATACTTGGGGGGAAAAACAATCCCTACTTTCCATGCCCCTGTCTGAAGCCAGTCCCTCTTTGAGCCATCCTCGAACCATCCCCTTCCCCTGCTCAAGGCCACAGCTCCAAGGACTCTTCTTGGAGCTCAGGTTGTGCCCGGGGCAGCCAGCTGCATGGCCCAATTCAAGATGGTAGCTTCTCATTGAATAGTGTGGTCACGCTGACCATACTACCTAAAACCACAACTCTGGGGACGCCTGGGTGGCTCAGTGGGTTAAGCGTCTGTCTTTGGCTCAGGTCATGATCTCGGGGTCCTGGGATCGAGCTCTGTGTTGGGCTCCCTGCTCAGCGGGGAGTCTGCTTCTCCCTCTCCCTCTGCCCCTCCCCCCACTTGTGCTCTCACTCATGCGCGTGCTCTCTCTCTCTAATAATAAAATCTTAAAATAAAACAAAACTGCAATTCCCACCCTCTGTCCTAATCCCCTGATCTTGCTGCACTTTTCTTTCTCTTTTCCCCCATAGCACTGATAACTGAACACACTATCATTTGCTTATATACTATGCTTATTATTTATTGTCTGACTCTTCCTGATAGAACATAAACACCTCAAGGGCAGGGACTTCTGTCTATTTTTGTTCTCCAATGTTTCCCCAAGTGCCTAGAATAGGGCCTGGGGCACATGGCAGACATTCAATAAAATATTTGTTCAATGAGTAAATACTGTGATGGAGAGATTGACATGTGTCTCCTGGAACTTGAGAACCACAGGGCTGGTAGTTGTCCACACTTAAGAAGTCTAAAGGTGACAGAGACACAACTAAGAGAGGTGGCTCCCCTGGGTGTGGCAAAGGGCACACTGTCCTTTGTATCAGAAGTGGCTCTTGCCAAGGGCAGCCTGATGGGGTTGTCCTTAAAGGGATCTTTCTGCAGGGGCATCTGGGTGGCTCAGTCAGTTAAGCATCCGACTCTTGATTTCAGCTCAGTGCATGATCTCAGGGTCATGAGATCGAGACCCATATCAGGCTCCATGCTTGGCAGGGAGTCTGCTTCTCCCTCTCCCTCTGCTCCTCTAAAAATAAATAAATCTTTTTTTTTTTTTTTTAAGAGAATCTTTCTGCAGAGGACAAGTGTGTGGTGAAGGGGCCCCAGCAAAGAGGAGGAGAGCTGGAAGGGGCCAGCCAGAGAAGAAGTATGTCTCTCAGGAAGAACCACACATAGAGAACCAGAGCAGGGGCCCCTGAGGGAACCCGCAAAGGCATCAGAAGGGACAAGCCAGCTTCAGCCATTCATCAAGCCCAGAAGGGCTCTGGGACAGATCTAGCTACACCAGTCATGGGGGCTTCTAGCTCAAAGTCTTTTCCTCCACCCCGGCCTGTCTCAGCAACTTCCTGAGGAAGGAATCAAGACATGTACATTAGACCAGAACTCTTAAGGGCCCAGTGAGGGGGTGAACATATACCAATGCCAAAGTGGTATTTAAAGCAGCTATAAACATACCTCCCCTCATGAGAACTCCACACATACATAAAACAGCTATATCCTATGGGATCGAAGATGAAACATTTAAATTTCTTCTATGATCACTACCACGTTGCATTAATAAATAAAAGTTAAGTTTAAAAAAATCCCCTCAATGACAACAACAAAATGTCCCCTGAACAGCCTTGTTTGCTTCTTGCCCACTCTCTCCACAAATGTGCGCACAGCTGCCTAGCTGCTGCAGGCACGGACCAGGCTGGGGGAGGGGGTGGCCATGGTGTGAAGTCTGTGTTCGAGGAGACACAAAGGAAGTGGTGAACCATTGGGGGCCAATATGTGCCCCCAAGTAGCAGGGCTGTGAAGACAGGGGCAGGGTTTTGTTTTCCCTCTGGGTTATAAATATCCACATATTGCTCTTTTTTTTTTTTTTCAAGATTTTATTTATTTATTTGACAGAAAGAAAGCGCACACACAAGCAGGGGGAGTGGCAGGCAGAAGGGAACGGGAGAAGCAGGCTCCCCACTGAGCAGGGAGCCCGATGCAAGGCTCGATCCCAGGACCCCGAGATCATGACCTGAGCTGAAGGCAGACGCTTAACCGACTGAGCCACCCGGGCGTCCCACACACATCTTGCTCTTTGAAGGTGCAGGTGGCACAGACCCCTAACAGAGCATTCTCACTCTATCTGGGCAGGTAGGGGGCTCAGAGGCAGGAGAGCTGGGCAGAAGGAGGCCATGGCATTGGGTTCAGTGTCCTCTCCCCTCCTCCTGTGAAGATGCCCAGCCTCTCTATCTCTGGGACGCCTTGTCAGCAGCCCCTCGATATTCCCAGGGGATTTAATTACTACCTCTGGGCTCTCTAAGCCTACCTAACATCACAACACCTGTGCCATGCCCTGTGTAGTCACAGGACCATCTTAGCAGGCTGTGGGGTCCTAGCAGGAGTCAGACCTTTAACGGCACTGGGTCTTGAAAAGCATATTATTAAGCCTCCTGCCCAAATGAAATTCAAAACAAAAACATCTTTCACCTGAAAATACAAAACTTAACAGGGGCATGCAATTTTTTTAAAAGAATTTTTTATTTATTCATTTGAGAGTGAGTGAGTGAGAGCGCAAGCAGGGGGGAGGGGCAGAGGGAAAGGGAGGAGCAGACTCCCGGCTGAGCTGGGCTAGACCCCAGGACCATGGGATCTCGACCCGAGGCAAAGGCAGACGCTTAACTAACTGAGCGACCCAGGCGCCAACAGGGTCATGCAGTCTTAAAAGCTTCTTTCTAGAATTTCTGACTGCGAGATTCTGGGTGAGCCCATCAAAGCTGCGCTTTGCTTGTTTTCCAGTTTTGCTGTTCCTGCCCTCCCGGCACCCTGAATACAGTCGTGTTTTTACCTCCGAGGTAGAGGCACCCTGGCAGGGGCTGTCCTGTACTCCCCTCTGTACTCCCAGTTCTTGGCCCACACCCTACACAGTCTAGTCCGGAGCATGGCCTGCTCAGCCCATTTCCAGAATCACAGAAACCAGCCTGATCTGATTCTCAAGACCAAAAGGATGAGTGTAGACAGGTGGAGTCGGTGCAAACCCCAAGGGCTTAGTGCCCCAGGAGGCAGCTTGACGAGAGGGAGCTGCCCAGGGCTGGGCATCGGGTTGCTGGTTCCAAACCCAGCCCAACCTCTGTCTTGCTGTGTGACCCTGGCTAAAGCATCCCCCTCTCTGGACCTCCGATCTATAAAATGAGAAGGTTGAATTGGTCCTCAATGAAGGAACTTCCAGTTCTAAGACCCTGTGTGCATTTGCCTGTCACTAGCTTATAAACAGAACTCCTCTATCCTGGCCAAGCGCATTAATCAGAAGATTAATAATGGAGTTTGTCCCTTTATTGGAAGTGTTGTTTAGAATCTGCTGCAACATACTTGCCTAATGATTCACAATGGCCCACTAAAATGAGTCATTTTCAGGGTAGCCCCCTCAGGCCCAGCCCTCACCTCTCCTCAGATTGATGAAATCCTGCTTGAAGCTCTCCACCCTGAACCAACTGCTCCTTCCTCTGGGCTCTTATCCTATTTTTGCCATGAGCATAGTAGATGACTAAATGACAAAGAAAGTAAATAACCAGCGGGTGCGTGGCTACCATCCCCCCCCAACTCTTCCCCTCACCCGAAACAAAAAACAGCCCCAAGGGCATCACAATCCTGCTCAAACCCACTCCAGGCAGCACCACCAGCCAACAGATTTGCCATCCCAGTTCCCCACACCTGATCACAGCTTTCCACTAGGGTGGCAGCTCGGGTTCCTTGGGTGAAAAACTGTCTCTCGGATATCTTTGGGCTCCTCACGCGCAGCATGGGACGGGCCCATGGCGTGTGCTTGAAAAAGGCCTGCAGGATGAATATCTGACCCTCTCTGTCCTTGAACGCCTGCCCTTCCAACATGCTGGAGTCAGAAGTAGGCACAGGTCAGCTGCCGGAGAGCGCCCACCCTGGTCAGGAGCCCAGAGCTTGGACCTCCCCTGGGACCCAGTTACAGTACCTTGTCTTTCACACTGTGGTCACAGCCAGAGCCCACAAGGAAGTCCAGAGCATCCAGCTGCCCGTGCTCAGCAGCCCAATGGAACGCCGTCCTTCCCAGCTGATCGGGGAGGGGAAGAAAGTGACCCTTCTGTACCCTGTAGGAGGCACGCCCACACTGCCCACCTAGCCAACCACTCAGGGCTTGCAGGGGCCTCTCCTGCCCCAGCAACTATCCCTTCCCCTTGTCCTATACACCTTACCTGGAAAGCCTAGACCCAACTTTCCAACAAGACCCACTGGGTGGGGTCCCTCCCCCACTGAAATCCTTCTGTGGCTCCCTGCTGTCTACTGAATAAAGGACAGATTCCTGAGGCTTGAGGTTGGTGGAGATTTCCATGAGGGGCTCCCAACATGGCCCTGGCTCTCACTCCCAAAATTCCAGTCCATCTGAACTCACATACAAAGGGCCCTTTTCCACCTCTAAAGCTCTGACAATGCTCTTCTCTCTATTTACAAAATCTCCCTGCTTTCCAATCTTACCAACGAAATCCAGGTCATTCACTAAATGCCACCTCCTCCAGGAAGCAGAAAGCAGTAGCGCCCGACTCTAACCTATCTAGTTAGTCCTCATCAGAACCTCTCTGAGGGAACTGACCATTTTCCTCCTATGTCCCTCTCATTTGTGCTCTAACACCCTTTCTAGACCAGCAGTTCCCTAAGGTGGGGTCCAGTCTGCACTACTCACAGCTCAAAGGATACACTCAAGGAATGGGCAAGAGTGGCCCCAGGAGCCCCAAACCCAACGGGAAGGACAAGCAGCCTTGAGGCCGCTCTCACCTTGTCAGCATGGTCCAGGGGCACATCCTCCAGGTCCTCCATTATGAACGCCAGCACCGGCACGTGGCCTTTTTGGGCTGCACAATGTAGTAAGGTCAGGCCGTCCTGGAAACAAGATGGTAGACCAGGGTGGTCCGTACAGTCTATGAAGGGGGGCCCTTCTCACACCCTGGCTGTCTCCCAAACGGTGAGTGTTTGCAATCCAGAACACAGCTTTCCCACAGAAACAACACAGTATGTAAATGGGGATGGACCCCTGAGCCACCCACGGGTGCCCCACTCAGTCTCACAGGGGCTGGTGGGAGTCAGGATGCCAGAGTTCAAATCCCAGCTCCAGCATTGATCAGCAATGCAGTGTGGTCTTGACCAAGTTATGTGTACCTTCATGAGCCTCCATTTTCTCCTAGGTCAAAACAGGATAACCCCTGACTACCTCATTTGGTGGCTGAGGGGGTTGGACAGCATCACCTACGGGAAGCCTTTTTATACGTTGAAAAATAACTGAGGTTGTAAGGTGAGGTTGTATAGCACTCACAGTCCCCAGAATACCCCTCACAGGACATTATTACAAGGTTACAACATCTGCTTGCCTTGATAAGGCCCCAAATGAGAAACGAGGTGCCTAAGTGCCCAGGATCTGTCTCTAGGAGGTCACTTCCTAACCTTCCAGGGAGGGCTGAGAGCTGATGGAATCTACAGAAACGAGGAGGTGTTAAAAAAGGAGAAAGTAGACTCACAATGGAATCACTTGTGCTAAGGCCCACCCACATCACCAAACCGAGACTTAATACCTAACCTAACTGCAACTTCAGCCTCTCCCAGATAAGTAATCTTAACCAGTCAGTCTGGAATTTCCTGGTCAACACTAGGGAGGAAATCCACCTGACAGACACCCCCACTGGCCCCCAAAGGAAGGTGATCTTGCCTAAAACAATCCATTCTTTGCTAGAATAATTTCCTTGCCCCACTGTCTTTTGCCTATAAAAGTCTTTCATTTTGTACAGCTCCCCAGAGCTCCTTTCTATTTGCTAGATGGGATGCTGCCCAATTCATGAATCATCGAATAAAGCCAATTAGATCTTTAAATTTACTCACTTGAATTTTGTTCTTTAACAGAGGGGAAGTGGCCAGGGTGGGAAGAGGCGCAGGCTGGAAGAAGGTCTCTTGGCCCCAGAAGCAATATTTAAGGGAGGGACGTTTGCAAATCCTATGTTTATAGCCCAGAGCTTCTACCAAGGCCTTGCATTATAGCTTGAGTATTTGGAGTCCGTTTTTCAAATAGATTGCAACCATCGATGGGTCATAAAAATCAATATATTGAATGATGTTGTACATCTTGACAGTAGTTTGGATTACACTGGAGTAAAATTTGTCAAATCTCAGTGAATATAAACTTAAGATTTGTGTATTTCATTTTAGGTAAAGAAATTGAATTCTAGTTAATATTATGCATGCTGAAGTATTTAGAGGGAAGTATAGTGATGTCTAATTTATTTTGAAATGCTTCCAAAATTTATAAAGAACTCTAAAAGCTCATTAATGAGATATTAAACAACCCAATTAAAAAATCATTTGGACACAAGGAAGATATATGGATGGCAAATAAGCACATAAAAAGATACCTAACATCATTAGTCATTATTGAAATGCAAATTAAAACTACAAAGAGTTTCTAACAATAGAGTATGGAAAGGGGAAAAATGCTAACATTACAGTGGAGAAACCTGGCCGACACCACTTTACCCACGTGATTAAGTGTGAAATTATGGTTTATAATAAGAAACATGTATTTGGTCTTCATCCTGTTTCTGGCACAGAGCTCCTAAAACCCTTGGTATTTTCTAAGTGTGCAGAGTGATTAAGGTGTCTATTGTTATGTTAATTTGGTGACAAGGGAAGCCCACGGTAACCTGAAGATGCGGGCTGGTTGCCTGGGAAACCAACTCGATTAGAGGGTTAGAACTTTCAGTCCCACTCCCTGACCTCCAAGGAGGGGAGAGAGGCTGGAGGTTGAGTCAGTCACCAATGACCAAGGATTTAATCTATCAAGTCTATGAAATGAAGCCTCCATAAAAATGCAAAAGGACAGCATTGGGAGACCTTGCATCCACATGCCGGGTCCCACGCTCCACAAGGACAAAATTTCCTTTGTTGGGGACCTCACCCTATGTGTCTCTTCATCTGGCTATTGATTTGTGTCCTTTAATATCCTTTGGAATAGATTTGTGATCTAGTGAGTCAACTGGTTTCCTGAGTTCTGTGGGCCCCTCTAGCAAATTAACCAACCTTAAGGAGGAGGTTGTGGGAACCTCTGATTTATAGCCAGTCAGTCAGAAGCCCAGGTGATAGCCTGGACTTGGGATTGGCTTCTGAAATGGGGGTGGTCTTGTGGGACTGAGCCCTTAACCAGTGGAATCTGATGCTATCTCCAGGCAGATAGTGTTGGAATTGGGTTAAATTTGTGGGATACCCAGTCAGTGTCCATGGAGAATTGAACTAATTGCTTGTGATATGGAAAAAACACACACATTAGAATTGGTGTCAGAACTGGATCAAGGTAACATCACCAGTGACAGGCCATATTGGTATTGATAAAGTTAATTCTTATATCGAGACCTACAAAATAGAGGCTGCCCCAGTGACCTGACCCAGGTCACAAATCTAATCCTACCTCTGAGGCACCTGGGTGGCTCAGTCAGTTACACGTCTGCCTTCAGCTCAGGTCATGATCTCAGGGTCCTGGGATCAAGCCCTGCTTCGTGCTCCCTGCTCAGCTCAACTTCTCCCTCTCCCTCTGCTCCTCTCCCCTGCTCGTGTTCTCTCTTTCTCTCAAATAAACACACATATATATATATATGTGTATATATACATATATATATATATGTATATATACATGTATAAGCCTACCCCGGCCTGCACTTACAGGAAACCTAACACACACTCAGTTGTACTAACCGCCCCCAACCCTAGAAAACAGGACCCGCTAGCCTGATGAGGAAATCCCCCTAGCAGCCAATCCTGCCATTTCTGTTGTTACTTTGGGGGGCTCTACAAAATTCGCTCTTGCCCCAAATCCCTCCAGAAGAGAGCTCAACTACTCTGAAGGGTGTTACTTTGGTTCCTCTTGTGTGAATAAGGAGGCTGCCCAGAGGGCTAGCGACTGTCCCAACATGACAGAGTGGTAAAGGGTCAGGGGCACTAGAAGAAGGAGGCTTTTAATGCTGATGGGAGGGGCACCTCAGCACTTCTCCCGGCCCCAGTGGAAACAGCTAGCATCCCAACTTCACAGGGCTGAGTTCAGCTGGGGCTTCTGGAGGGTTCTCAGAAGGCAGGGCAAGTTGGGACGGCAGAGGCGCGTGGGGAGTAGGATGGGCAGGGATGGGGGTCGATGGCAGAGGCGGGGCGCACCAGTGCAGCAGGGCCGGGGAGACAGAGAGGGCAGGGCCTTGGGGGGCAAGGGGGCTGCCAGCTGAGGCCTTACCTTGTTCTCACAGTGGATCTTGGCCCCAGAGTTGACCAGGACCTGGAGGATCCGTAAGTGGCCAAACCAGGCAGACAGGAGAAGCGCGTTCATCCCAAACTGGGGGAGAGGACACGGGGAGGAGGGGAGGTGAATGTGAGCAGGTGTGGCTGTGCCACCTGGGCCCATGTCTGCACTGAGAATCATACCACCATAAGGGACCACAAGTGCCACCCAGGCCAGGGAGCACCAAGCTTAAGGAATGTCAAAACCATGGCATTGTTTTATTTTTTATTTTTTTAATTTTTTAAAAAAGATTTTATTTATTGGGACGCCTGGGTGGCTCAGTCAGTTAAGCGTCTGCCTTCAGCTCAGGTCATGATCCTAGGGTCCTGGGATCGAGTCCCGCATCCGGCTCTTTGCTCAGCGCAGAGCCTGCTTCTCCCTCTGCCCCCTCCCCCACCCCCCACCCCTGCTTGTGCACTCTCTCTCTCTGACAAATAAATAAACAGAATCTTAAAAAAAAAAAAAGACATTTTTATTTATCTGAGAGAGAGAGAGAGAGTATGAGTGGGGGGCGAGGGGCAGGGGCAGAGGAAGAAGCAGACTCCCCACTGAGCAGGGAGCTGGACACAGGGCTCAATCCCAGGACCCTGGGATCATGACATGAGTCGAAGGCAGACACTTCACCGACTGAGCCACCCAAGCACCCCTTCAGGGCATTTTTTTTTTTTTGAAATAGAGGCTGAGACACTATTGCAAACTTTTGTTTTTGCTAAATAAAATTTAAAAATAGGGGTGCCTGGGTGGCTTAGCCAGTTGAGTGTCCAAGTCTAGATTTCTGCTCAGGTCATGATCTCATGGGTCATGAGACTGGCCCCACATCAGGCTCCGTGCTGGGCGTGGAGCCTGCTTGGGCTTCTCTCTCTCCCTCTCCCTCTGCCCCTCCCCGCACTGGGGCTGTCTATAAATAAATAAATAAATAAATAAATAAAAAATAAAACAGCTACCATCTATTCTCCCCATCATTTAATAAAGAAGGAACATTTTAACATAAAAAATTTGGGAGAAACTAATCTCAGAATATGCTCTTTCCAAATACAGCTTCATGAAAAACACACTACATTGTTCTTATTTTCTGATTTGCTATGGTTGGTGAAGATCTCATCCTGGACTGGTGTTTGGGAGCCCACTGTTTGACTCTCCTACAGGACGGCCTCCAGGCAGATGGCTTAAGCCTGCAGACACCTCACCCCTCACAAGACATGCACTGCACTAACAACCACTGCTCCCTGTTGGAAAGTCCCTCCTTCCTCTGCACCGAAATCTGCGTCCCTGTACCTTCCACCCCACCGGCACTTTGCAGCAACTGAGAATATGTCTGGGCCCTTTTCCGATGGTGGCCCAGCACCTATATGTAGGATGCTCTTCCTCAACATCTGTGAAGTACTCCGGGATCATGAGAGCCCCTTCACCGACCTCTGCCCTCATGGGGTTCTGCCTATGACCCCGCACTGGCTAGAATCTCAGTGACTGTGGGCTGGCTGGCTGAGGGAGAGAATGAACACACACAGGGCAGAGTCCATGGGGAGAAGCCCATAGGAGCCTGGGAATGAAAAGGGTCAAGGCTCAGGGCTGGGGAAGCCAGAGCCTCCTGCCAGTGGGAACCCCAGGGGTATTTCTGCATCCTAGTTCCAAGATCTGTCCAGGACAGAGCCCTATGGCATATCTCTCGAGACCTTTCCCCCAACAGCAGGATCTCCCTCTCTGGTCTCCCCCCACCCTTCTGTTAAGTAAAGTAGGCATGCCCATCAGCTTTCTTATTTTTCAAAATATATTACTATTTGCAAAGGAAACAAAAGATTTATAAAAGCACTGTCTCTTACTATCCTCCCTCATATCTTCTTTTCTCACCGATTCCCTCAAGGAAGAAATAACAGAGCACAGTGGTGATAGCGGGGGGTCTTTGTGGGCAAAGGCCTGTTGCATGAGATTCCAGTATTTTATCAGGAAACTCAGGCTAAGGATCCCAGACATTCTCCTTCCAGAGTCACCTCTAAATGAGGCCTAAGCAAATGCAGAGAGATGCGGCGGCAGTGGGGAGGTAGGTGTTGCTGCCCCATGCCCAGCCCCAGCTTGTCATCAAGCTCCCCTTCATGTGGGGCCTGGGAGCAGAGAGAGGCCAGGGCAAAGAACGGTATTTCCGTGAAAGGTATATCTCTGCAGGGAAGTTCATAATTCTTTAAATTTTTTTTAATTTAGACTCTTAAATGTATCCCTGTCAAATGTCACTGGTAGACCCGGTCCTTTCCCCAAACCTATAGAGATGATTTTGTAGACCCTGTTATGCTTCAGTGCTCTCTCTCAGCAACGTGTTGCCTGCCAATTTGTTAAGTAAGACTGTCAGTCTCTCTCTTTTTTTTTAAATATTTATCTATTTATTTGAGAGAGAGGGAGAAAGAGCACGCGCGCAGGCAGAAAAGACAGAGGGAGAAAGAGTCCTAAGCTGACTCCATGCTGAGCACAGCCCGCCGCAGGGCCCGACTTGGGGCGATCTCACCACGCTGAGATCAGACCTGAGCGGAAACCAAGAGTTGGTTGCTTAACTTACTGCGCCACCCAGGAGCCCCAGACTGTTAGCCTTCACTCATGTCTCCGGTTAAAGTGTTAGCGAGGGCAGAGCCTTGTGTCGTATCATGAGAGACCTACCTCCTGATGATTTTATTAATAAGTCCTTTATCAATCCATCCAATTATCTGTTCTACAGCCCATATCTCTCCCTGTTCACATGGTATCATGAGGGACTGAAAAGGCTCTCTGAGAACTAAAAAACTCTTGAAAACGGAGAGATCTTTACAGCTGTACAAGGGAAAATTGGGATCAGTACAGTGGCACTGGCGCCTGAAGATGGATTCCCTGTCCACCCTGCACCCTGTGTTGGCATGTCAGTGCCGCCTCCACAATGACAGTGGACTCAGACCCAGAGAGAGCTCTGGGGCTCCTCCCCCATCCTGGGTCAGACAGACAGACAGACATGCACACAGGCACAGGGCGCCTGTATGAGCGGCCCCGTACCGCATCCGCATCGTCCACAGCAACCTCGTGCTCCAGGAGCAGCCGTACGGCTGGCTCGTGCCCGGCGCCCGCAGCCCAGTGCAGGGCCACCCTGCCCACCTGCCGGGAGGGAGAGAAGGGCTTGGGGCGCCAGCTTCCCCCCTGGCCCACCTCCCCACACCCCCTCCCCGTCTCCCCAGCCGCAGGACAGCTGGTCTGGTGGTGACAAGTGGGCGGGACCCCAGCCCCACTCAGGCTCCCTCCTCCTCCTCCCCAAGGCAGCGGCTGAAACGAACGTTGTCAAACACCATGACTAGACCCATCTGTCCCCCACCTAAAACTTCACAGCTTCCCACTGCTCTTGGGACAAACACCTCACCCTGGGCCCTGCCCACCAAGACTCAGAAATGCCAGACTACTTCCCCTCGCCCTGTCTTTGTTCCTGCTGGACAGCCACCTGTCAGAGGACTACTGTCCTGGTCCTTGAGGGCCCCTGACTGCCTGGGTTCTGTCCCCTCCTGCCTTCAGAACGGGCTGAAGGGCCCGATCCCTCACCCCATTGTCCGACCACCCTGGAAGTTCATCATGGTCTTTGGCATCCACACATCTGAGCAGGCCTGGGGGAATCCTGCCTCCTCCAACCCACGAACCACAGTTTTTAGCTTCCCAGCGGACAACGGAAGGAAACACTAATTTTCTGTGTGGTCTTTCTTCCTCGGAGTTTCTGCCCTACTGTCCCCTCTGCCTGTCTTTACCTGACAAAAATGCCACTTCCTCGAGAAGCCTTCCCTGACTGCTGCATGGAGGATGGGCACCCTCCGACCTCCACATGCTCTCAGCTTATCACAGTGGGAATGAACTGTTTGTGAGACACTCTGTCTTCTCCCCAACCAGACAATCAGCTCCAAGAGCGTAGGGACCACATCTGCCATGGGCTCTGCTCTGTCCCCAGCACCTAGCACAGTGCTGGCACAGGGGAAGCCCCTTAGAAATACTGAATGAATGAATGAATGAATGAATGAATGAATGTGATGAGTAAATGACGGAATCTGGCATTAGTATCCTACTACATCCTATAAGTCCCTGCTTCCTTGTAAGTGTTTGTCCAGTGGAGACTGAGGCTTCAGTTATGAATAAAATGCTGTGTGACCTAAGGTGACTTGCTTGCCCCATCTGTGCCTGTCTTGATCTATAAATAGGATTGACACTTCCTGCCTCCCTCACCTCTCCAGGGGTGAGTGAGGACCACCAGGAAACAGGTGGAGGAGTGCTCTGAAAACCAAGCTGCACCAGACACACCTGAGAATTCCTGTTACTATCACTGAGCCCCAGACAGGCTCGGAAGACACAAGTCACAGACCTGTCATGTCACCCCAGACAGAGCAGCCTCTGCAACAGTCAGGAATCCGACATCCAACCCCTTCAGCCTCCACTGACCTCCCACCCAGGCTGGCATCTCCTCTAAGAAAAGCCTGGCAGCCAGAAGCCCCAAGGTAGAGAGAAGCCACCCTGCATGGTACCCAGGCCTATCGCCACTGTCCCCCATCAGAGGGAATGGCTTTTCTCTCTGTCTCCTCCAGCAGGGCTATGGACCACGCCATCTGTGGCCTTTTTTGAGGCCTGATCGATGAGCTAGGTCTGCCTCCCTGCCTGGTCTTTGAGTCCCCGGGGACTTGCCTCGGCCCACAAGAGTTTTACACACTCAGTGGGTGATCAGAAAACTAAGCTAAATTGCTTCCTCACGCATGCTCAGCCTCTCATGGTCTTCAACCCCTGGACTTCTGACCACAGGCGCCACTCTGTCTTTGTCCCTGCAGGCTTCTGTTCCTCTCTGTCCATCTGCCAGCCTTTGACTCTTGGCCTTCGACTTCCTGCCCTCCTGACTCTAACCTTTGTTCCTTGGGTGTGCCTTTCAGACGGGTGACAGGAGTGAAGAGAATGAGCTCTCAAATTGCCCAAGCCTGGCTGGGAATCCCAACCCTGACCTCGGACAAGACCGCAGAGACCCTGAGACTATGTGGACAATCTGAGCCTCCCCCAGGTTAACACATGCAAATGCTCCTGCCCTGGGCTCCATGAACTGTCCGTCCCATGTGTAGGTGTCACCGTGGCAGGCACCATCCCCATCCAAGCCTGCAAGCCTCCCGATTTGGAGGAGCCCCTTTACGAACGTGGTTTCTGGCCCTGACGTCGACTCTCCCCTCGATCAGTTCCTTCATCCTCCCGATGTTGTTCCGTCAGGCGGCCTCATGGAGCTGCCTCTCCAGAGGAAGCACTAAGGGCAGAAAAGGGGATGCGGGATGAGGCGGAGGGCCCTCACACTGCATGAGGAGGAGAGGTGAACAGCTCCTCCCTCCCCTGAATGTCTCCCAGGCAGGGGCTCTTCCAGCTTGGACTGGTGGTGGGGATGCCTCTCCTCCCTTTGGAGGTTGGGGACTTCCCCAGACAAGCTGCTTTTCTTCACTAACTCACCACAAGTCCACACGACCAGGCCTTAGCAAAACCCTAAAGATGGGACAGCATGGGCAAGACTGTCCACGGGAGCCAGGTGTGTGCCCATCTCGGCCCTCAGAGGTCCCCCATCATCCAGTTTTTCATGACCCCAAGAGCAGCTCTTGAGGAAGGGATGGAATTCATTCCCACTGGAGCTGATAACTACCTTTCCCATGGCTTTGTCCAGTGAAGAAGGCAGCCAGGAGTTACTGAGCCACCTACTTCATCAGGCTCGTCCAAGGCCAGAGGCACGTTCACCTGGCTTCCTTGTCTTTGTCCCTCCATCTCTTCTCCCTTCATCCCCAATCCTAACCAGCTGTCACCTCCCAGCTGTGGGGCCCACCCTGATTTGCCTTCTCTCAAGGCTCCTCTTGCCTCAACACTGCATCATTGTCTCAGACTAGAGGGAGCTCTGAGGCCTGCCATGGGCAGCGGTGGGCTCAGAGGGGGGTGGCCAAGCCACGAGGACCCAGGCCTGGTGACGTGGTCCAGGGCTCATCTCACCAGACCCCCACGCTGCTGTCATCCTGACTGCTCTTGGCTTGTGAGGATGTCTGGTGTCCTTGGCTGAACCGCAAGCTCCTTGGGGGCCCTGGCTACACCTGACCTTTGTTGATCCACCCACAGCTCACAGCAGGCCCAAAGCTGGATCTAGGGAGGGATCCATAAAACTCTGCTTCCATGAGTGACACATATCAGACTAATAGATACCCGTCCCTCCCACAGAAAGGTTTAGACACACTAGTACAAGACACGAGTATTTGCTGGCCCTTTGCGTGGTCATTACAGGGCAGATAATCTGTGGTCTGATTGCTGCCAAACCCACATCCTGCGTGTTTGGTCCAATGTGAATGTCCAGATCCAGCCCCTTTGTATATCCAGGGACAGGTGGCCAGTGTTTGGGCAGGGAAGGCTAGGATGAGCTCAGGTGACAGACAGGCCTGCCATCCGTTTACTTTCCAGATATGGAAGAGGGTCCTGGGCTTTCCAGGGCCTTATAGATACAACCTAGGGACCTCGGAGCTGCTGCCCCAGGGCAGTCACATGGCCCTAGGTTCAACTCTGGCGAGTCACTTCCAGGACTCCAGGCCATGTGACTTAATTATCCTGTGCTTCAGTTCCCTCATCTGCAAAATGGGGAATGTGAGCCGCCCTGTAGGGTTATAGTTATGATTAGATATAAGATATGAAAAGCCCTTAGCATGGTATCTAGCAAATAGTGCCAGCATCATCATCACTATTATTCCTATAAGGCAAAGGGTAATAAATTCTGGTGCCCCTCTGGGTGGGGCCTCCCTCACTCAGGGCCCTCTAAGCCCATGAAATCCCAGCCAAGGTCAGCACCCTCCCCATCCACCTCCCTGCATTATTTTTCTCCATAGCACCCCTCACCCCAGACATATGCTATACTTATATATTTATTAGGTTCGTTGTCTGCTTCCCGCATTAGAAGCCCATGACAGGGGAGATTTTTGTCTGATTTGTTAACTGCTATATCCCCAAATTCAGGCCCTGGCACACATTTGTTGAATGAATGAGTGATATACAAATCATTAAATCTCTTCAGGGGCCTTTGAACTATAAGATGCTGTCCCAGTTAAGACTCATTAGTCCCCTGGAAAATCAAACCACAAGCTCAGGCAAATGGGAGGCGCTGAGGAGGAGGCAGCTTCAGGTCAATATTGCAGGGGGGGAGGGGGAAAACACCACCTTCCAAGTGTGGTCTCCACTGCTAGTTCCACCCTTTCCAATCTCCAAAGGGGATGCCTTTCCTATAGGTGAGGAGAGGGCTCTTCTGGAAGAACCCCTCTCGGATCTCAAACATCTCCAGGAAGCACTGAGTCCCGAGCTTTTGTTTCCTTAACCTCTTGGCTGAACAACACCAAGATCCAGGCTCAGGAAAAAGAGCTGGCACTTCAGGTGAGCTTAGAGAAGCTGGGGTTCTGGTACCCACTCTGCTACTTTCTAGCAGCAGGATCCCAGGCTAGCCACGTACCCCTTGGAAGCCTCAGTTTCTTCGGTTGTAAAACTGTATCTGTAGCGATCCCTTCCAGCTCTGACTCCCTTTCTCTTAGCTGAAGCCTAGAAGTGGCCTGGTTTGTGTGGGCCAACAGGCACCAGTGGGAGTGGGAGCAAGCAGACCCTGCAAGGCACCAGTGAAATCAAGCCCAATCTCATCTCTTGCATCCACTTCAACCCATGCATCCTCTTTCTGTTCACAAATACACACTGAACCCTAGCCTTGGAGACCTTCCCCATGCTGCCTCCTCTGCCCAGAATTCCCTCCCACACACCCCAATGCTCCATTGCTGCACATTCTTTAAGGGCCAGCTCAAGAGATCCTCTGACCCAGGCAGAACCCTGCACCCTTTGAAACAGCACCTTAATAAAGCTCCTCACCGCCCCCCACTCATCCCAGTGAGGGCACTGGCACAATCCTTCTCTCTCCTCTCCCAGGGAGTGCAGCGAAAGCCTATCAGGCTGGCTGATGCCCACACGGATGCTGCTGCCCCGCCTAGAGGCCCTGGCACTGAGCACACTCCATGAGGAAAGCTCGGCCGTGCGCTCATCCCACCTGCGGCACACCACAGTTCCTCTCCTCTGGGTTTCAGTTTCCCCGTCCGGTATCGTCTTCATTCCCCACCCAACCTCAACATTCTGGGAGAGCGGGGGCCTTCAGCATTTCTACCACTTAAAGGCGTGTGACCTTGGGTAACTTATTTAACCATCCTGTGCCTCAGCTTTCTCTTCTGCAAAATGGCGGTAACAATAGATCTACCCGCAGGGCGTCTGTGAAGATCAACTAACATTCCTGTCCTGGCTTGGCCTGGCACACAAATTATGTACTCAATACAGGATCGCATAACCCTCTTATTCGCATCACATCTAGCCAATGTCTCCGCGGCGGCAGCTCCCTGCTTCCCGGACCCGTGGCGCCGCCGAGTCCCCGACGCGCGGCCAAAGTCCCCCCACTGGCCCGGCGCGCGTTCCTCTGGACGCCACACAGAAGCCCACGACCGAGGTGGCCGCGCGGACAGCGCCAGTCGCAGGTTTGGTCGCCCCGGCCGCAGTGCGGGAATCCTCCGGGCTCTGCCCACGCCCGCCCCCAGGCCCCGCGGCGCGGCAGACTCACGGCCGTCGGTCTCCCACACCAGGGGCTCCTCCATGCCGCCGCTCCGCAGCCCGGGGGCGCGCTTCCGTCCGCCTGGGCGCGGCGCCGCGAACCGAGGGGAGGGGGCGCTGAGACGGGGTCTGGGCGCCCGGGGCTACCGGGAGCGCCGGGGTGCGCGCGGCAGCCGCTGCTCCAGACCCTTCGGTCTCGCCTGGGCCCTGGAGCACGATGTGGGCGCAGCTGCTGCAGCCTCCCCCAAGTCCTGGACCAGGCTGCGGGTGCCTGCCCACGGCTCCGCGCCTTTCACCCCGAGGCCGGCGGGTCGGGTCGGGGCCACTCCGGGCTCTGCAGGTCCCCGTGGGCGTGTCTCCCCCAGGAGCTGTCCCAGCCTCCTAGGCCCTGGACCTTCGTGTAAGGCCTCCTGCAGGCTCCACCCTCGGGACTCCGGAGCCTGCTCAGCTGCCCCCAGACGCCTAAAGTCAAGACTCCAAGGCCTTGGGCAGGCATTTAAGGAACAGACACCCCAGCAAGCCTGTAAGCATATGAAGAGATGGTGAGATTTATTCATGATCAGAAAAATACAAGTTAAAATGACGATGAGATATCACACCAATTGGACTGGCAAAATTATAAAGCTAGACAATGCCAAATCTTGGCAGCGAATGCGGAGCTGTCACAGCCAGGTGGATTGCTGGTGGGAGTACCTTGGGGCAGCCATTCTGGAGAACAGTCTGGTAGTAATGAGGGAAACTGAACGCAGCGAACTTAGAACTTAGAGTGCAGCTCTTTCCCCTCCAGTCTCAGAAAAGGACATGTAAAAGGGTGTTCCTTGCTGCCTTGTTGTTTCATGGTTGCTGGGAGTTGGAGGTGACTTGAACATGGGGGGAGTGGATGGGTAAAATGTGGGACTATGCAACTAGAGAAAGGAGGAGCCAGGATGCGGCTTGGGGATTGGGTGGGGGCTAGGGGAGCAGGCCCTGAAAGAATTCACCCAAGGCAGAACAAAAGAGAGAGAACTTTATTGGATACACTGCAAGGACAACAAAGGGAGACTGCCACAAGATGGTGGCAAGGGACTAGAGTTATAGGGTGGAGTGAGGAAGTATGGGAACATATGGAATTTTCCCTTTTTTGGTAACTCTGCCTGGTTTAAAGTAGCTCATTGGTGCATTAGGGCTATTTGGAGGTGGGTCACTTAATGAGCCTGTTTGTATTCAGCTTGGTGGTCCCTGGGGGCCCTTTTGCCTTGCTCAAGTTTCCATTGCCCAAGCCTGTTACCTAAAAGCAACCTCTACAACCAGGTGTATTCACAACAAGGATTCAAATGCCCAGTGCTGAGCTGAAAAAGTACAACAACCCAGTGAGATCTATAACACAACATCAATAAATGCATGCACACAAGACAACAGAGATTGCAAAGACACAAACAAAAAGATACACATTAAACATATCAGGGGCGCCTGGATGGCTTAATCATTAAGCGTCTGTCTTTAGCTCAGGTCATGATCCCAGGATTCTGGGATGGAGCCCAGCATCGGGCTCCCTGCTTAGCGGGGAGCCTGCTTCTCCCTCTCACACTCCCCCTGCTTGTGTTCCTTCTCTCGCTGTGTCTCTCTCTGTCAAATAGATACATAAAAAAAAAATAAATAATAATAAAAAAGATTAAAAAACCGTATCAGAATGGGTTGCACTTCAGACCCCTGGGGGCTGTCCATGTCTTCTCTTCTTTGCCTTTTTGGCTTTAAGGCATTTACAGCCCCTTTAGATTTAAGGTTAGGGGAGTCCCAGGCATCTCTACCCCCAAGACAAGGAGCTATTACTAGTTCTCTGGGATCAGAGAAGGAAGAATATTTTTCAGTCGTTAGCGTAAGTTCAAGAAGGCTTCCTTCCCTGGAAGAGGAAGTATTTGGGATGGCCTTTGAAAAAAATAACATAATGATAATAGCTAACACTTAATGAGCCTCAATCTAAGCACTTTGTGTGGATTATCTCATTTTGTCCCCCAAACCACCCTACATGAAATGGGCATGACCATTTTATGAAGGACGAATTGAAGCACGAGAGGGTAAATAACTCTCCCTACCTCACATGGGTAGGTAAGTGGTGGAGCCAGGGTTCTAACCCAGGTTGTCTGATTCAAGAGCCAGAGCATAAGCATTTGGCAGGTGGAGGGGACTCTGCTGGAGTCAAAGCCACAGACAGCAGGCAGTGTCTCTGCCTAAGTCCTGCATCCGGATGGATGCAGAGGTGCCGCGGAGCAGCTGGCTGGCATAAATGCCCACCTGCCACCCAAGATAGCCATAGCCCTGAGCCAGCAGAACAAAGTGGCTGCTACTTTCGCCTCTCAGGATGCTCACATCTTGGGATACACAGTGGAGAATGAAGGGGCACAGGAAACCATAGTCAGGACTTCAGTTTTTACACGATGACTGGGAGGCGGTAGAAAAATTGCATTTTTAGTAAAACAACCATGGTTCAATGAACAAGGGAGTAAGATGCAAAATCCAGTGGGCCACTTTGGACAAGGCCCCAGAGGCTTGGGTGTGCACACTGCTTTATCTTGGGGGATATTTGGAGGGAGATATTTGAGGGGACCAAACCCTGGCTCTGCCTTTTTCCTGTCCCTGATGGTATGCAGAGCCCATTTTCACCCTGCTTCTCTAGCCCTCAACCTCAACCCCCCCCCACCCCCTAACTCACTCACTTGCTTGCTCACTCTGAGGATCCCCAGGTCATTCTCAAAGAAGACAGTACTCAGTTCCACACACACGTGCTGCCTCCATCCCTTTAGCATTAGGGACTGTGGGGTAGGAGGACAGAAGAGGTAAATCAGAGACCATCACAGTTGACAGGGATGAAGAGAGAGCCTGAGAGCACAGTGCTGGGGCTTGGGGTAGGGCATGTAGGGCGGCTCCAGGACCCGTATGAGTGTGTGTGACAGAGGGATGTGATTGACCTTAACACCCACTAGAAACAATGAGGAAATATCAAAGTGATGGAAAACTTGGTTTGACTGTGGAAAAATAATGTCAATTATACTCACTTATGAGCTCTACATATCGTTTTAGCCTATTAATTTTGTAGCTTAGTAATTATGCACATCATTTCAAATGTCTTTTTTTTTTTTTCAATCCTCATGTAGCTGGGGCCCAAGGGTACAAGAGCACTTGGCTCCAGAGGTCCCAAGCCGACCGGGTTCGGCCCCTGGCTACTGACAAAATCCAGAGGCAGAGAAATGAGTGGTGGTGAAACCAGAAAGGAATTTATTTCAGTGCGGCCAACACCTGGAAGACCACGGACTAGCATCTCAAAGACCATCTCCAAAGTGCTGAGAATATCTGTAGGTTTATATAAGGAAAATGTGGGGCAAAGGTCAGTGGGTACGTGCAGGTGGGCAGTAAAGGTCAGGTCAATCATTGTCTTGGCGTCAGTCACGGGAGGCTTGCAGGCATCAAGGCAGTCCTTATTGCTTCAGGGGATGGTGGTTTCGGTTCCCAGCACAGGATGCTTTGCCCGCAGGGTCTTTTGCCTGAGTTAAGAGATGAGAAGAACCTAATCAACAAATCAAACAATCAAGAACAGAGAGTCAATTGGAGGTAGCTGAAGCCCTCTTTCACTGGGGGAGGGAAAAACAATAAAATAAACTTGCTAAATTTCTTTCAGTAGAATGAAATTTCCCCTGGCCTGCCTCAGGGCCTTTGCACTTGCCGTTTCCTTGTCCACAATTAGCTCTTTGTCATTTTTGGACTGGCTTAAGTGTCCATCCCTACCCACACTGCCCCTATCACAGCAGCCTTTGCCTCCGGAGCAGTCACAATCTGTAATTCTGGGACACACAAATAACACTGGGTCTACTATTCCTATTCAGAGCTCATTGCTCTGTCATTTCATACTCAAATGGTACACCAGACTAGTTTATTATTCGCTCTACGTTTATGTATATTTGAAATTTTCTATAGTAATTTTTTTTACAAAATTCCTATCTCTTAGATAAGGCAACTATGGTAAAATATTAATATGTGGTACTACTCTTCCAACTTTTCCGTAGGTTTGAAATTTTTCTAAGTAAAAATTAAGAGGAAAAAAAAATCTGGGCGCCTGCATGGCTCAGTGGGTTAAGCGTCTGCCTTCGGCTCAGGTCATGATCCCAGGGGGATCGAGTCCCACATCTGACTCCCTGTTCAGCGAGAGTCTGCTTCTCCCTCTACCCTTCCCTCCCCTGCTCATGGTCTCTCTCTCTCTCTCTCTTTCTCTCTCTCTAATAGATAATATCTTTAAAAAAAAAAAGAGGGAGAGAGAGAAAAAATCATTTCTTTGTTCTGATCCTTTTGCCTCAGCGAGCTGAGGTGGATTGGGTGCCCAGGGTCCATTCTGAGTAGAAATGTTATGGTCCCAGACCACCAAATGGAGCAGTCCCCAAACCCAGCAAGGTCAGAGCTAGGAGTAAAACCTAAGAGTATCTGGACTCCTTGCAAGTGTTGTTTGGGGTACTTGGAACTTCAAACCTACATGTTCAGGGCTTCCATCAACTAAGGGAGTCATGTGCCCTGTTTGTCATTTTTACAGGCAGGAGGGTGGGACAAGGAAGTTATTAGCGAAAGAAAAGAAAGGATTGTTCCAGGCAAGGAGAGGGCCCATGTGACAGATTACCTCATTGGTGCTGACCAGAAAATCCCTGACTAACTTTAACTGAGACTATGTTTCTGGGGGAGGTTCAAACTGCACTTAGGTTAGGTATTCAGCTCCTGTTTGGTGACTTGGCCTAGCATAAGTGACACCATCTTGGGCCTGTGGTTTTCTTTTTTAACAATCTGAACTTTCCTGAATTCCCTGTCACTTTAAAAATAAAGACTTGCATTATTTTTCAAGGCGTTGGACCCTAGGTCTGAGCTGTGAGGCCTCTCGCCTGAAGCAAAAGGAAAAGACAAAGAGATGCTTTTTTTTTCTCTTTAATGTTTTACTTAGAAAAATTTCAAACCTACAGAAAAGTTGAAAGAATAGTATCACATAATAATATTTTCCCATATTTGCCTTATCTAAGAGATAGGAATTTTG